TTTGGAAGTCAAAGTATTTTTAAAATATATAAATTGTATTAATCCAGCAGCATTTCTTTTAACAGTTGCTGCTATTTCTTCAGCAGTTAAACAATACAAACACAACACAGTAGCATACAGTATCCAGATTCTTCCATCTTCACATGGCTTTCCATCTTCACATGGCTTTTTATTATTCTATTTCTTTTACTTCTATTTTTTTATTTATTGAGACAGGATTTGTCTGTGTAACTTTGGCTGCCCTGGACTTTACTCTGTCTACCAGGTTCATTTTGAAAACACAGAGATCTGCTGGCCTCTGTCTCCTGAGTGCTGGAATTAAAAGCATGTGCCACCACACCCAGCTACTCTCTATTTTTTTAAACCACTTTATCCTGTTTCTTTTTTTCTCCCAAGCCTATGTATATTTTAAAACACACTGTAAACCTTTGCAGGTTTTTCTTTATCCAAGTCTGTCTTTACTGTAAATCTTTATTTTTTTATTTTTATTTTTGGTCACGAGTTTTATCTGCTAAACAACATTGATCAAATGAAAGCCACAGCTGTATAAACCGTCGTCTATCAAAGATGGGGGGGGGGAGCACTTTTACCGCCAGAACTGAGAGCTGTGCTCACTGCCTTGGTCTATGCTACCATCCAGCAGCATGCTGCCAGCTTGGAGATGTGGTCACTGCCATTGCCAGCTCTCATATATACCGTTCAGTTGTTAACAGGGCTTCCTAAAAAAAAAAAAAAAAAAGTTTTTTGCAGCTATGCTGAGTCAGGGAATCTCCCTTAAAGGAGCCGCGCAAATCTCTGCTTGTCTCTAGCATCACAGAGCCCAACTGAGAAAAATGCTGCTACCAAGAAGCCTTGCTTGTCTGTTATTTTGTTTCTAAAACCCATTTTTAAGCTTTTGTTAAGTTTTAAGTGAAAGTTCTTGGTTCTCATGTTGCAGGCCCCATTTTATTATGAGCAGTTTTCCCGCCAGCCTGGTCCCACAGCTGTGTCAGCCACAAATAACACACAGAGACGCTGTATTGGATATAAAGCGGTTGGCCTGTTACTAGCGTTCCTTATTGGCTAGCTCTGTCTTAAATATTAACCCATTTCTATTCATCTGAGTGTTTCCACGTAGTCTTACAGCAGAGAGGGTCTGCACCTCTGCTCTCTCAAGTATGTACATCTTGAATCTCTTTCTATATCTCCCAGAATCCTCCTTGCTCTTAACTGTTGAGCCATCTTTCTAGCCCCAGGGCAAACATCTTGAACTATAAGCACAAGGCAGAGCAAATTTGGAATTGTCTTAGGGTTTCTTTTGCTGTAATGAAACACTATGACCAAAAAGCAAGTTGGGGGAGGACAGGGTTTATTCAGCTTAGACTTCCTCATTGATGTTCATTGCCCCCCTCCAAAAAAAAAAAAATCAGGACAGGAGCATAAACAGGGCAGGAACTTGGAGGCAGGAGCTGATGCAGGGGCCATGGAGGGTGCTGCTCACTGGCTTGCTCCTCATGACTTGATCAGTCTGCTTTCTTATAGAATCCTGGTCCACCAGCCCAGGGATTACACCACCCACAATGGGCTGAGACCTCCCCCGTTTTTTGTGGACCACTCTTCTTGTACACTGTGACGACTGATTTCTAATAAAGAGCTAAATGGCCCATAGCTATTCAGGAGGTCTAGGCGAGACTTCCAGAGGAACCTGGAAAGAAGAGAGGCAGACAAGCCAGGCAGATGCAGACCAAGTCAGACACGCAGAATGGGGTGGAAGTAAAAAGCCACATGTTCAAACATAGATTAGTAAAGATAATGTAACTTAAAAGAGCCAGTTTGGAACAAGCCTAAAGTATAGGCTGAGCTTTCATAACTAATACGCCTCAGCTGGGCTGTGGTGGTTCATGCCTTTAATCCCAGCATTCCGGAGGTAGAGGCAGGCAGATCTTTGTGAGTTCAAGGCCAGCCTGTTCAACAGCTAGAACAGGACAGCCAGGGATATACAGAGAAAACCTGTCTTGAAAGAAATTGTAAAAAAGTCTCTGTGTCATTATTTGGGAGTTGGCTGGGAGGACAGAGAAAGACTCCTTACACCCATTGGTCCCTAATTAAGAAAATGCCTTACTGCTGGGTCTTATGGAGGGATTTTCTCAATTGTGGTTCTTTCCTCTCTCATGACTCTAGTTTATGTCAAGTTGACATAAAGCCAGCCAGTACAGGAATGATGCAAATCTTTGGTTCATGACATACTTTCTCTAACAAGTCTAAATTCATATATTGCCCAAACACCACCTGGGAATCAAGTATTCAATGCCTGAGATTGTGGAGGTGTAATACCCTCAGAGTGAGGAGTCTCCCCGTTTCGGTCAGTTCCCCCAAGAACTCAATGTCCAGTCCAGTTGATGCAACATGCAAGAGGCTTTAATGAACGGGAAACGTTTGTGCAAACAGGGCTCCCTCAGCACGCAGGCTAGAGAGAAGTGTCCAATCTCCAGGCACAGGCGTTTTTAAAGGCAAAACCCACAAGCTTAAGGAGGGGCCCTGACCCTCTGACCATTGAGTACGTGACCAGAGTCATGGGCTCTAGCATGCTCTTTATCGTTTTAGATGGTCTCACTATTTAGGGTGTGCTAATCAGTCTTACCTAAGCAAACGGGTTTTGCAGCTATCTCTTTGTTTCTCTAGGACCCTGTGGACACATTGACCGGAGGGGCAGTTTGTTCCCCTTTGAGTTCCCTGGGGGTGGGGGGAGAGTGACCTTCTTGGTATCTGGCTATCTTAGGGCCTTGCAAGGCAGAGGTTGCAGGTGGTTAGCAAATTCCAGGAACTAAGTCACAGTGGCCTTGGTCAGCTTTCTGGGTCAGATTGCCCTTCATTTCAATTATTTGGGCTCCATTTCATTTCTTTGCTAGTTTAAGTCTTTCAGAGGGACATTTCATTTAAACTACCACAGTAATCTGGGAGTGAATGTCTTTCCTGACTATTTCTTTCATTAAAAGTGCTTCCATAAGACTATAGAGTTGGCTCAGAGGTTAAGAGCACTGGCTGCTCTTCCAGAGATCCTGAATTCAATTCCCAGCAACCACATGGTGGCTCACAACCATCTGTAATGAGATCTTGTGTCCTCTGCTGCCATGCAGGGGTACATACAGACGGGACACTGTATACATAATAAATAAATACAAAAGTTCTTTCATCTGTGACACTGAGTGCAGTTTTACTCAATACTCCATGTGTGTGAATTTCAAGAGTGACACCATCATTTTCACCCCCTTCTACAGGCTCCTTTGTCCAGTTTCATGACTGTAAATGCTTTGCATTTTCCGTACTGTACAACGCTTGCAATCCATTCCTTTTCCACATTTGTTCTTTGAGCTGTTGTTTCATAGCTATTATTTTCTGGAGGTCTAGTGGGTTTCTGAAGCATTCCACTACTTCCTCCTCAGGTCTTCTGCTCCCACGTACTCCTTATTGGGGGGATGTTAGATCACACGGTGAACCCCAAGTTTTCATATGCATTGCTTAAATAAAATTAACCTTGAGTCAGGTGGTTGAGTTAGCAACTCGTTGACAGAAAGTAATTGTGGAGCATCAGAGGGCATCTGGGAGAGATAGAGAGACATGGACATGGTAGCAGGGACAGGTTTGGAGTGGCAAAGCCTTTTCTGGTTTGGCAGACCCGAAGCACAGGTCTTTTGGAGATGCCAGCAAGGAGAGAGGGTTGGCTTGTAGACAGAGTCTCTTTCCCACCCGGTCCTGCTGCCCTTTAGCCCCCAAATAAACACACTGAAACTTATATTAATTATAAACTGTTTGCTTGATGGCTCAGGCTTCTTACTGGCTGTCTCTCTCTTAATTATTAACCCCTAACTACTAATCTATGCATTTCTACATGGTTTTGTCTTACTGGAGAATGCCTCTGGGCCTGTTACTCCTTCGGCAGCTACATGGTGTCTCCCCAGAAGCTTCTCTCTGGGTCCTCTCCCCATAATCCTCCTCATCTGCCTTTACTTCCTGCCCAGCTACTGGCCAATCAGTGTTTTATTCATCAAACAATAAGAGGAACATATATTCACAGCATACAGGACATCCCTCATCATTAGCTAGTTGCTACTCAGCCTGTCTGAGCTTGAGGATTTTCACCCCAGCCTTTGAATCTCGAGTCTTATCTTTAAGTAGAATGATAGAGATTTAGTTAAAGCTACCTTTCATTGCATTGACAGGGCTGGTGCCTGTGGGAACTCAGGCTGCCTCAGACTGCTGCCAGGGAAGCAGGCCAGTAACTGAGGAGTTGCAATTGCTGGCTGAAATAGCAGTAGATTAAGGCACAGCCACTTTGCCAAAGTTAAAATAACAACTCCTCACCCCTTACCACAAATCTAAAAGCACTCCTTCAAGTTAGGAGTGGTCTTCTATCCTCCCCATCAGCTTTATGCAGTTGATCAGTTCATGTTTTGTGTAAATACCGATTCTGATCACTTCTCTGCTTCTTGTCTTTAAGACACTAGTCATAGGCTCTACTTTACGCCCTCCCTTTTTTGAGAAACGTTTAATTTCTGTTTTCCAAGCTGCCCTCTGATCTCTGGGCTCAAGTGATCCTTCTGCCCCTGCCTCCCAAGTAGTTGAAACTGCGGGATGATATATATATGGTCTGTTTTCTAGTCACACTACTGTGTCTGTCTATATCCAAGCAACCCATGTGCTTCTGAGGCTTGCCGCTCCTTGATGACCACCTGCCACATTAGTGTAGAGAGTTCATAAGGGTAAAGATCTGGCGTAGGGCTACTCAGTGGTTTCTGGCAGGATTGACCTGGCTAGGGTCCCACTCCATTGGACCAACCAGCCAACCCCTTAGATTGCCCGGGAAAACCATCCAGGGCCCCTCCTGGCGCAGCCCGCGCCGCGCGGCCTCCAGCCTCTGGGAGGCGCTGTGGGGAAGCCGCCACTTCCTTCTGCCTGCTCCTTCCTTCCGCGCCCGGCGCCGGCACATCCTGTTTTCGTTGGCCGCGCTCTGATGGCGGTCCGCGCTGGAGCTGCGTCCACTTCGTAGGGCCGGTCCTCGCTGGACGCCGTGAGGCCTCGGTGCCCCGCTCCTTTTTCCTCTTGACAAGCCTGCGCACCGTCCTCCAGGGCGCAGAACGTGTGGTGGCCGGCAGCATGGGCCGGGAGTCTCGGTGAGTCCGCGGGCAGCGGGTGGAGGCGGCGGCGCGGCGCGGCGGCTTGGGGCGGCCCCGCGTGTGGCCGCTGAGCAGCCGGTCACCCTGGCTGTGAGGATGCGAGGCTGGCGTGCAGATCCCCCGTACTTGCAACAGCCGGGGCGAGCCCTGAACTGGAGCAGCCTTCCGCGAGTCAGGTCGCCCGTTCACCGAGCCCGCAGCCTCATCACCTCCGTCAGCCCCGGCCCGGCTCTCACTCCCTTACCGCTTCGCCCTTGCAACGTTGCTTACACCCCCTCTAGTTGACTTTTGTGCGCGCGTGGTCTTCCTAAGTCATTTAAAAGAGTCGCGTGTGCAGATCCCCCTCCCCGTACCTACAATATGTGTTCGACTCTTACTGGGTTGCAATAAGCAGTTGTTTTACTTCGCGGCTAGATTTCATATTACTTTGTTACCTGCTTCTTGTCTTTTTGAAACCGTCCACGTGCGCACCTTATTGTAACTGTAATTATAATTATACGGTGTCTTCAAAACTTTAGGATGTTGGTAACCTTGAGGTTATTATTATTCTATTGAAAGATGATTGATACGTATGCAGTCGGTCTGAAAGATACTACGGTTCAGTGTCTAGTGAGAATGAAAATTCTGCATTGCTTTTAATGCTAACAGCACTTTACTGGGCTGTAACTCAGGTTCAGGAACATGAGTAAAGTGTGGTGGTGCATCTGGAACTTTTGCGGATAAAGGCAGTGTAGTCAGTTCATATGACTACCTAAGTTTCCCAAAGGCGTTGATCTTCATCTGGGTACCTAGACCAGCGATCTGGAAGCAATATTTGATTCTTCCTCTCCCACACTGCTTATTTCTAGTTAGAGTCTGCAGTATTTTCCTCATTCCTGATCTCTGACTTTATTAAGGCCCTTAATATTCATTGTCCAGACTGCTTCAAATTGATTCCTCCCTGAATTATCCTTCCTTCCTGTCTTCCCTCCCTTCCTCCTTCCCTCCCTCCCTCTCTCCTTTCCTCCTTCCCTCCCTCCCTCTCTCCTTACCTCCTTTCCTCCCTCCCTCCACCCACCTTTTTTTGAGACAGGGTTTCTCTGTGTTGCTTTGGAGCCTGTCCAGGAACTCATTTTGTAAATCAGACTGACCTTGAACTCACAGAGGTTTGCCTGCCTTTGCCTCCCGAGTGCTGGGATCAAAGCCACCACCACTTGGCTTTTAAAACATTTTTTTATTGAGTTATTTGGTCTTACTTGCATTGGTGTTTTGCCTGGATGCATGTCTGTATGAGCATGTCAGATCCCCTGGAACCGGAGTGAAGGACTGTCGTGAGTTGCCGTGTGGGTGCTGGGAATTGAACTGGGTTCTCTGCAGGAGCAGCCTGTGCTGTGCTCTTAGTTGCTGAGCCTTCCCTCCCTACTGTTGCCTCCTTTGTTTGGTTTGTTCTTTGCTCAGCAACAAACAAAATAATGCTTCCATTTCTTTTTCTTTTTCTTGGTTTTTCGAGACAGGGTTTTTTCTGTGGCTTAGGAGACTGTCATGGAACTCGCTCTGTAGACCAGGCTGGCCTCGAACTCACAGAGATCTGCCTGTCTTTGCCTTCCGAGTGCTGGGATTAGAGCCGTGCACCATCACCACCCTGCTCACTCCAGCCCTTTTGACAGAGTTTTATTTTGTCACCCTGACCTCAGACCCTGACCCTAACCCCTGACCCTAACCCCTGACCTCACACCCGCTGTGTTCCTCCTGCCTCAGTCTCCTGAGTGCTGTGCATGAGTCCGCACCCTTGTTTCTCTTCAGCCTCTCCTGTGCATGTACTGCAGCAACAGTTCATTTTCTCCTTCCAATTACACATGGGTTTAGTTTGCTGTTTTTTTTTTTTTTAAACACATAGAAATTAAATTCAAGCTGCTTGCTAAGCATAATCTTTATTTGCTACTATTCCAGCCATTACCGAAAACGGTCAGCATCACGAGGACGCTCTGGAAGTCGGTCTAGGAGTCGCTCACCCTCTGACAAAAGAAGTAAACGTGGAGATGACAGGCGTTCTAGGAGTAGGGACAGAGACAGAAGGAGAGAGAGGTCTCGGAGTAGGGACAAAAGAAGATCACGGTCAAGGGACAGGAAGCGTCTGAGGTAAGCCATTCATCCATCATTCCGGAAGAACCAGCCATTGTGGCCCTTACCGGATAAATTGAGCCTCATGAAAAGTGTGTCCTGGCTTGCAATTTAATGGTCCATTTGTGGACCTGCTTTTCCCACTGTTTGATTAGACACCGGCTTTGTCTATTAAAGTTTTCTTAAGCAATATTTTTAAGCTTAGAAATTTAGACTGTGTTTTCTGTAATTCAAAAAGAACCCTTGAAGTAAGATAATAAGTTTTGTTTATGGAGATTTTATTTGATTCTGCCTGAGATGGAACATTCTCAACTTTCCTATTTTACATTTATTTATTTAATTATTTTGGTTTTGTTTGTTTGATTTTTCGAGACAGGGTTTCTCTGTGTAACAGTCCTGGCTGTCCTGGAATTTGCTTTGTAGACCAGGCTGGCCTTGAACTCACAGAAATCCACCTGCCTCTGACTCCCAAGTGCTGGGATCAAAGATAGCTATTGTATTTATTGTCACTAGTATCAATAGTTGCAACTTTCTTGGAGTAAAATGTCTTTAAAAACAGTTTTCCTCATCTACTCAATTTTTTTTGTACTAAAATAGGAAATAATACATAGTTAGACTATGACTAGCTCTTTAGACCAGGCTGGCCTGGAACTCAAAGAAATCTGCATGCTTCTGCCTCCCCAATGCTGGGATTAAGGGCACATGACACCACACTGCATGATTATTCTTTTTTTCTGTTTAAATTATTGCATCTTTGTGTAGTAGGAGCAGTTAGGTCCCTTGGTCATTCTGACATTTGATAACTTTCTTGCATGTTGATATGACAAGGTAGGTTGGAAGATGAGAATATTGTGGTATTTATACCTGGTATTGCAGAGAGGTGGATCGTGTGGGCCAATTCAGTTTTGGATTCTCTGTCCATGGACAGTTCCCACAGTTCAATCATGCACATGTTATGGTATATGAATTGATAGCTTAATTTTTTGATCTCTGAGTTTTTATGTGAAAGTAAAATTGTAAGATTTTATATTAGGGATTTTGAGGCTGGGAGTGGTTGCATACACCATTTATCCAAGCACTAGAGTGTCAGAGGTGGGTGGATCTCTTGTGTTCTGAGCCAGTGAGATACACACACAAAAAAAATTGAGAGAGTATATAGTGAATTCTCCATTTTTCTAGAATGCATGGAGTTTTGTGGGGGCACTAGTAGCTCTCGGGAAGAGGTATTGCAGCCTATTGCCTCCTAATCTTCAGATGATGTTTTTTTTAGCCCAGGTTCTGCCCAGCTCCTTCCTTAGCGTATGCTTCCCCCCCCCCCCCTTTAGGCTTCCCCCGATGCTGGGGTTAGGATCCTGTACAGCTCAGCAGTGCTCCAGTGTTATGCTGCAGCCCCAGTCCTGGGCTGTCTGTGAAAACTGGCTTTGATCCTATAGGTGGTAGACTTAAAGGATTGTTACAACGTTTCCATTGATCTTTGTGTGAATGAACTGGCTTCACTTGTGTCCTGTCTGCTAGCTGATTGGGAATGCTACCTGTAATCCCGATCCTAACCTTAAACTGCTTTCAGTTCGGGACAGTCATAATCTGAAATAGTAACTCCCTTTGGCCACAAAATAATTGAAAACTCTCCCTTCCAGGCGTTCCAGAAGTAGAGAGCGAGACAGAAGCCGAGAGAGAAGAAGATCTCGGAGCCGAGATAGGAGGCGCTCAAGGAGCAGAAGCCGGGGCCGGCGATCCCGGTCCTCCAGTCCTGGCAGCAAAAGCAAGAAGGCCGAGAATAGGTAAAGCTGTCATTGACCGAATCTGCTGTACAGTTCCTTCCTAATCAGTCATAACAGACTTTGACTCTTGCTATGAATTGATGGCAGAACTTTTATTTATGAGGTTATGGGGCTTATAATTCAGTTGGAGAACAGCAGATTCTACTGGTTTTAAGCTGTACATCGTACCCTTATTTAGTGTGTATTATTAGTGGTTGGAACGTTTGTAAACATCTTTGTGGGACTTGAGTGTCTTTTGGCAGGGATGAGTGTTGTAGTTGCCTGCTGGTTGCCATGTATTCAGCTACATCCTTGGCATCAGTTCTCAGAAGTTAAGGTACTTTTGACAACTTTTTAAAGATTTCTTAATAACGTATGTCTACCTGTGTAGGTATGTGTAAATGAGTGTAGGGGCCAGTGGAGGAAGGCCTCAGCTCCTCTGGGAGCTGGAGTTACCCATTGTGGGTGCTGGGAACAGAGCTCCTTTTCAAGAGCAGTAAGTGGACTTAAGCACTGAGTCAGCTCATGGCGTACTTTGTTGAATTAAAGTGCGGTGGCCTTTGCCTGTGTGTCTCTCATGATGCTGATAACGGTTGAAACGCCACCTCTTCACAGTCTCCCAACACCCTCACCGCCGCCACGAGAGTGGGCACGCGACTCTCGCTTGTTTCCTGTTCTATTCCCTTGTTGCTACCTCCCCCATATTGTTTGTTTTTGTTCATAAATTGTACTTTTATTTTTCCAAGGCTAGTTTAATGCTGTTGGGATTTTGTGAGGTAGAGGCTGGCGGATCTCTGAGTTTGAGATCAGTCTGGTCTACATAAAGTTCAAGGACAACTAGGGCTCTGTAAAAAGAATGAAGGAAAGGGAAAGTGAAATGGAGGGCTTATGGAATACTGAATTTTATCTCTTTATGTGTATGGGTGTTTTGTCTGCGTGTATGTCTGTGCAGCGTGTGCATGTCCGATGCCTGTGGATATCAGAAGAAGGTGTGGAATCCCTAAAAAGGGAGCCAGACATGGTTATGAGCCAACATATGGGTGTTAAGACTCAAACCAGAGTCCTGGGCGATTGGTGTTTTTCAATGAGAGCCATCTCTCTAGCCTGTTTTATCGCTTGACCTTGGTTATAGGAATGCAGATATCTGTTTTCAAACAATCTTTTGTTCCCTGTCCAAACTTTTTGTTTATTGAGACAGTGTCTTGCTATGTCCTCATGGTTGGCCTCTGTCTCACAAGGATTATTGTCATTGCACTTTCTTGGCATTCCATCTCCCTGGATGAAGCCACTGACCTTTTCTTTATCGTTTTACCACCTGTGTGCACCTCAGACTACTTGGTTTTTAATTTCACGTGCATGGTCCTTCCTTTGTTTTTCCGCATTGTTTGAGATGCACCTGTGTTGTCTCAGTCTGTAGTTGTTTTGTCGCTGAGTACTGTTCTGTGAGGTCACTGAATCACAGCTTAGGGTCTACTGACGTGGATGTGTGGCTTGGTGCTGAGGGCCTTCAGCTTTTTTTTCCCTCATTTTTTTCATTTGGCATCAAACCTAAAAACTTGTGCTTTAACCATGGCTGATGGCTTTTTAGACAGGGTCTTGGCATGTGTGCCTCAGACTGGCCCTGAATTCCTGACCTCCTGCAGCCTCCTGAATGCTGGTGGGTACCCCTGTGTACACACCCTCGAGTACTGCTGCCCTGGCACACCTGCACGTGTGCTTTCTTAGGAAGTATATCCCGAAGTGAGACAGACACAGCTCTGTTTGCAGCAAACTCCAGAGAGTGTATTTCTACCCCAGCACTAGAGTATGAGAGATCTACTTCACACCTTTCCCAGTGTCTAAAATTGCCAGTTTTAGGTTATCTGAGCAGATAAATATGCAATAATATTTTGGGGTTTTTTGTTGCTTTTTTTTTTTTTTTTTTTTTTTGCTTCTAAGAATTGGAAAGAAGTTCGTTACTGGGAGAAGGCATGGGCCAGGTGGTGGCGGTGGTGCACACTTTTAGTCCCAGCACTCAGGAGGCAGAGGCAGGTGATCTCTTGAGTTTGAGGCCAGTTTAGTTTACAGAGTGAGTTCCAGGACAGCTAGCGCTACACAGAGAAACCCTGTCTCAAAAAGCCAAACAAACACCCCCCCCCCCACGAAAAAAAAAGCTGATTGTTGGCTTCTCAAGAGTTCAAGAGTGAGATGCCTTATTGTGGCTTAACTGTGCCTTTTTCTGGTTGCTGTTCTGGCTGGATATGTTTTGAATGAATTTTTATTGTCCATTTGGGTTAAGTACATGTTCATATCTTTTTTTTATCATTACTTTAATTTTTTTTTTTTTTTTTTCTTTCAAGACAAATTTTCTTAGTGTAGCCCTGGCTATCCTGTAACTAACTCAGTACACCAGGCTGGCCTTGAACTCACAGAGATCCATCTTCTTGCCTTTTCCTCTGGAGTGCTGGGACTAAAAGTATGCACCACCACCACCCCCCAGAATCCTTTAATTTTTATTTTTATGTATACAAGTATTTGCCTGCATGTATGTATATGCACCACATATGTGTCTTGTGCTGAGGTCAGAAGAAGGTATTGGATTCTCCGGAACTGGAGTTATACATTATGTGGGTGCTAGGAACCAAACCCAGGTTCTCTGTAAGAGCAACAAGTACTCCTGATTCCTGAACCTTCTCTCCAGTCCATATTTCTTTTTTTTCCCCTCATTTTCCTTTTGGATAATTTCTAAAATTTCATTTATAGGATTTTTTTTATATTTTCCTCATAATGATACTAGTTGAATATTTCTTTTTTCTTTTCAGTCTTGTTTCTTTCTTTTTTTTTTTTTAATAATTTATTTAGTCTTTCAAATTTCATTTTGCTGGTTAAATAATTCTTGCCCAAAAGGCTTGGGGCCAGAAGTGTTTTCAGTCTGGGACTTCCTTATTTTGTTATTTATATACATATAATGAGAGCTATCTTAAGAATGATGTCCATGTCTAACCAAGAGCTTACTTTTTATGAACGTCTTATACACAGCCTGGAAGTGGGGTTTTTGTTGTTTGATTTTATGCTGCTACTGGGGATTGATCCAGTACCATGTACAGGCTAAGCATGTACCTCCCTTCCCCCAACTTCCCAGCGACACCCATCTCTTTGAAGTTAGTTTTAGATGATATTTTTAGTGTGTATGCATGGCTATAACCTGGGGTGTGCAGTTAGATAGGAAATTTCCTTCTAGAGATGTCAAGAACACACAAAACTTCAGACTTTAGATAAACAGTGATTGAGTTTAAGCCTGAAGCTGTGTGTGGTGGCACACACTTTTGATCCCAGCACGCAGGAGGTGTAGGTGAGACAGTCTTTGTGAGTTAGGGTCCAGCCTGGTCTACAGAGCAAGTTCAAGGACAGCCATGGCAACACAGAGAAACCCTGTCCTGAAAAATCAAAAACCAAACAAAAACCTAACAAAGGTAGCATAGGCAAAGAACATATTTTATCTAAACAAAGACTAACATACTAAATGCAGCATAACGAACACATTGATTTTATTTCAAGAAAGGAAAATTAACATTAGAAAATCAGTGTGGCAAGTAAGATTAATGGAGGAAAGTCAGTATTTTTTTCTTTTTCTGAGAAGTTATTATTATTTCTGAAGTCATTATTTAATCCAGAATAAAGTTTTACTCTTTTTCTTTCCTCTGAGGCAGGGTTTTTCTGTGAATCTTGGCTATCCTGGAACTTTTTTGTGTAGACCAGGCTGGCCGAAAATTGGAAGAGAACTTCCTTCCTCTGCCTCCTTAGTGCTGGGATTAAAGGCTTCATTTTTGTTTTTGTTTTTTAATTTTTTTTTTTTTTTTTTTTGAGACAGGGTTGCTCTGTATAGCTTTGTAGACCAGGCTGGCCTCGAACTCACAGAGACCTGCCTGCCTCTGCCTCCTGAGTCCTGGGATTAAAGGTATGCGTCACCAATGCCTAGCTCCAGCTTCTCTCTCTCTCTCTCTCTCTCTCTCTATCTATCTATCTCTATCTCTCTCTCTGTGTGTGTGTGTGTGTGTGTGTTATATGTGTGTAAAGACAAGTTCTAAAGTGTCTTCCTCAGATGTTCTCCAACTTATTTATTTACTTTTAAAGATGTGTTTATATGTATACAGTGTTCTAACTGCATGTGTGCCTGAAGGCCAGCAGAGGGCACCAGATCTCATTACAGATGGTTGGGAGCCCCCATGTGGTTGTTGGAAATTGTACTCAGGACCTCTGGAAGATCAGTACTCTTAACTTCTGAGCCATCCCTACAGCTCATTTTTAAAGAGAGTGTCTTCCTGAATGTGGCATGGAGGTTTCCAGTGAGCTTTCACCTGGGGGCTGTGGGTCCTTCCTTATTCAGGTTCTAAGGCTTTTGTGGCAATCCGTTTACCCACTAAGCTGTCTCCCACCCCATTTGACTAAATTTAACATATCTTTATTTTTGAACTTTTTTTCCCCTCAAGACAGGGTTTCTCTGTATTGTTTTGGAGCCTGTCCTGGAACTGGCTCTGTACATCAGGCTGGCCTCGAACTCACAGAGATCTGCCTGCCTCTGCCTCCTGAGTTCTGGGATTAAAGGCGTGTGCCACCAACACCCAGCTTATTTTTGAACATCTTAGCAGGATATTTTACAACCTGATCATAAGATTAGAAATAGGGCTGGGAGTGATGGCCCAGGGCTAGAGTACTTGAGGACTTAGCCCAGTCCCAAGTATCCCAGTAAGTAAAGCTAAGGCCTGGTATGCACTTGTAATCCCAGTGCTGGGGACGGTCCAGGCTAATCAGTAGGTCTTGCTGGCCATCCAGCTCTGACAAGTGACAGCTCCTGAGGAATGCTACCCCAGTTTGTCCTTTGGGCTCTACTACACACATACATGCCCCCCCCCCCCACACTCATAAACACACACATTAGAAATACAAAGGACATAGTCAAAAACAAGATTGGAGGACTCCTTGTGCCACGCCCATAAAGACATGCCAAAAAGTTGCAGGCTCTGAAAGTTGCTCCAGAAATCATGGATGGTGTCAGATTGTGCGTTTAGAGATGAATTAATAGATGAGTGAAAGAACGTACAGAGCCTGTGCCAGCCGTCTCGTAAATGACAGGTGACATTCAGGGAGTGAGAAATGCTGTGGACATTTGCTACTCTAATAAAATAGGACCGCCTTCACTGTGTTTACAGAAAGCAGTGCTGGGCGGAATAAAGAACAAATTAGATGGCAAGATAAAACAATTAGCTAATAAGTTTTATAGAGTTTATATTGAAGAATATCTTTTTAACCTCTGAGTATGTTTGTCAAACCTGCCAGGATGTCTAGACAGGATCACTCAGAAACACCAGTCATGAACAGAAGAGGAGAGATGGGATTTTTAAATTTTAGGTATATGACTGTTTGCCTGCATGTGTGTCTAGATTCCTCATGCATACAGGACGTGCAGAGGCCAGAAAAGATACCTGGAAACTGTCACCAATGGTTGCATACTACATGTGGGTGCTGGGAACTGAACTTGGGTCTTCTTTAAGAGCAGCAGTGCTCCGAACATTAATTTTATATCATTAAAATTAAGCCACTTTGAACCGGGCAGTGGTGCACGCCTTTAGTTCCAGCACTTGGGAAGCAGAGACAGGTGGATCTCTATGAGTTCAGGGCCATCCTGGTCTACAGATCAAGTTCCAGGACAGGCTCCAAAGCTACACAGAGAAGTCCTGTCTCGAAAACAAACAAAAAACATTAAGCCATTTTGTTATTAGAGACATAAGTCAAATTGTAAGCCCATTCTGATTTTAAATATTATTACATATATGAATTACTAAAATTGTACAATCCTGTGTAAATTTGTAATATTTTTAGACAAATTTCCAAATGTTTAGTAGTGTTTTCTATTAGCGTTAAAAGGTTTACTTTTCTCATATTTCAGGTATTTATTTTTGGAATATTGATAATGTACTAATTATTGGAGAAATAAAAAAAATGAGGTCTAAATCTGTTAAATAGTTTGAAATGAGTATGGCAGGACCTTCAAATGGCTCAGAAGTGCTTGCTCCTAAGGCTCAAGCTGACCTTGATCCCTGGTTCTCAGTGTAGGTTAGACCTGACTTCTGCCAGTTGTACCTGACCTCCACAGGTGTTCTCACACACGCGTGCTCTCTCTCTCTCTCTCTCTCTCTCTCTCTCTCTCTCTCTCTCTCTCTCTCTCTCTGCAAGAAGAAATGATTTCCAAATGATGGTATCTTGCTCTCTTTTGTTCTTTGGTAGGTCTAGGTCCAAAGAGAAAGCGGAAGGTGGGGACAGTTCTAAAGAGAAGAAAAAAGACAAAGATGATAAGGAAGATGAGAAGGAGAAGGATGCTGGGGTACGTTCAGCGCGAGACATTCAGCTCTCTGGTAAACCAATCAGAAGGCCCCTTACGAAGAGACACTTCTTTACGCTATACAAAAAGATTATCCCACAATATACGAGCGATTCTTTAAAAATTTGTATTATTAGTTTATGTGCATGGGTGTTTTGTGTGTATGTCTGCGTACCACTTGTGTGCCTGGTGCCAGCAGAGGCCAGGATACAGCTGCAGATCTGTGGGAACTGGAAAAAGAGATGGTTATGAGCTGTCATGTGGGAGCTGGGAAGAGCAGGCGGTCCTCTGAAGTGCTGAGCCGTCTCTCCAGCCCCAGCTTTGACTTCCTTTATGGAAAGTGCTTCCTGTCACAACTCTTGCCTGATTCTTTGTTTCTACCCCTCCTCCCTCACTGCATTTCTTCTTTAATTAAGATCCATTCATTTATTGCATATACAGGGTTCTACCTGCATGTGTGCCAGCAGAGGGCGCCAGGTCTCAATACACATGGCTGTGAGCCACCATGTGGGTGCTGGGACTTGGACTCAGGAGCTCTGGAAGAGCAGCCACGTCTCTTAACCTCTGAGGCGTCTCTCCAGCTCCTTCACTGCATTTCTTTCTCATGGTCTTGTTATGTATAGCTCAGACTGGCCTAGAACTACCCTAGCCTCTTTCATTTATAGGTGCTAATGACCAGGTCTGCCTTTGATTCCAAAATACGTTGCATTGTTTTATGTGTGTTACACACATGGCATGCCTTGACACAAGTGTAGCAGTCATGTTTACCTTCAAGCATTAATTCTCTACTTCCAGCATGTGAGTTATAGGGATTGGACTCAGATGGTCATTCTTGGCATCAAGTGCCCTTATCTCCTGAGCAATCCTGCTGGCCTTGTTTCTATATGAAAGAAGCATCATTATAAGGATGAGTGATTACTAAATCTGGTGTCCATTTAGGAATGTATACACACATCCATTTTTTTTTTTAAGTATTTTGGAGAACTTATTTAGAATTGCTAATCTGATTTTCATTTTCTCTCTTTTTCTTTCTTTTTCTCTTTCCCTCCCCAAAGAACTTTGACCAGAATAAGCTGGAGGAAGAAATGAGAAAACGAAAAGAAAGAGTTGAGAAATGGCGAGAAGAACAGCGTAAAAAGGCCATGGAAAACATAGGGGAACTGAAAAAGGAAATTGAAGAAATGAAGCAAGGGAAAAAATGGAGTCTAGAAGATGATGATGGTATATTTGGGGTGTGGGCGATGCCTCTTTTCTAAAATCGTGGAAAATGTGCACTGTGCTGTATTCACGTTTTAACATTCTTCAGGGCTTTGGGCGTGCTCATCAAATGCTCTAGCAGCAAGCCACGTCCCTAGCTCCGCTGTCATCGTTGCAAACGTAGAATGTTGAGTGTAGTTGCTCATGGTGTGTTCAGAGCTGTGTAGCCCTCCTCACTGCTGGTTTCCAGAGCTTTCGTCATCCCAGAGGAAACTTCACCGGCTCCCGCTGAAGGTCCCGCCATGCTCCTCAGTGCAGCCATGCGATTGGTGTCTTTTGTGTCTGGCTTTCTACTTGAGCATACTGTCTGAGATCCATTCATCTTATAGCATGCTCTACTTTCTTTAATGGCTGAGTAGTAACCTAGTAAGTGTACGTGATAGGGTCTCACTATATTAGCACCAGATGGCCTAGAATTTCCTATGTAGACCAGGCTGGCCTTGGACTCTGCCTTGTAACTACAGGGCTTTAAGGCATATGCCACTAGGCCTGGCAATACTTTGTTTTCCTGTTTAAGACAGGGTTTCTTTTTCTAATCTACGCAGGCCTTGAGTTTGTGGTTCGCCTACTTCAGTCTCCCAAACATTGGGATTATGGCTTGTGCTACCATGCTTTATTCATATGCTCACTTGCTTCAGACACTTGAGCTGTTTCTGCCTTCTGTTTTTAGCATTGGTATGCAAAGAAATATTTGAGTTTCTGTTCATAACTTTTTTTTCCTTTTGTAAATCTATGTACCTTGAAATAGGTTTGCTGAATTCATACTGAGATTCTTACAGTTTTAGATAGAGGATCTCATTGTGTTGTCTAAGCTGTCCTGAAGCTCCTGCACCTAAGAGATTGTTCCCTTACTCCCTGAGTAGCTGGGACTGTAGGTGTGAGCCACTGTGTCTGGCCATATGGAGATTTTTAAGGGCCTCCTTCAGTGGATGCTAAGATTCCAGTTGTCGAGGAGCATCCAGTGAGAACCCAGAGCACACAGGTGTACACTGCACAGATAGTAGATGGCGCTAGCGTGTTTGCTGTCTGGGTAACTGGTAATGAGAGTGAGCTCCCCTGATGGTTCTCCATCATCCAGAGCCCCAGCTGCAGGGCTCCCGCCCCTCTTCTGACCTTCGAGCACCGAGACACACAAATGTGGACATTCATGTTTATCTTAAAAAGGTAAACACACCTCTAACCTTTTATGATTTAGGAGAGAAACATTTTCCTCTTGTTTTGTGCTTCTGAGGCTTGAGCCCAAGGGTTAGCCCGGGCAGTCAACACACGGCAGCACTGGGTCACACCCAGGGCTCAGCAGGTGCTGTGGACACGCTGAGTCACACCCAGGGCTCAGCAGGTGCTGTGGACACGCGGGGTCACACCCAGGGCTCAGCAGGTGCTGTGGACACGCGGGGTCACACCCAGGGCTCAGCAGGTGCTGTGGACACGCGGGGTCACACCCAGGGCTCAGCAGGTGCTGTGGACACGCTGCACCACTGCATTACACTGTAGCCCATTTTCCATTTCTGATTTTGACTCTTGAAATTTTAGTAAAATAGAAGATTATGGTATATCTTACAGGAAAATAGAATTCTGATTCATTTTCTGTGAAAGTTCCTGTCTTAGGTAGGGGTTTCTTTTGCTATGAAGAGACACTATGACCATGGAAACTCTTATGAAGGAACATTTAATTGGGCGTCTTTCATTTTCAGAGGCTTAGTCCTTTATCATCGTGTGAGGTGGTAGTGTTCAGGCAGACACAGTGCTGGAGAAGGCACCAAGAGTTGTTTAGGCAACCGGAAGCGGGTTATCTCATTGGGCGTGGCTTGAGCATATGTGAGACCTCAAAGCCCACCCCAACAGTGACACTTCTTCAAGGCCACACCTACTCCAACAAAGCCACATCTCCAAATTATGCCACTCGGAATGAGTTTATGGGATCCGTTGAAATGACCACAGCTGGAAACAGTTTCTCTTTATCAGTGGTCTTGATGGGAAGAGTAGATTTTCTTGAGCTAAGAGTGATCAGTGTCTTTCTTTTTGTCACTCAAAGATACTTGAAGGAAGAATAGTTAAAAATCTGGGGATAACTGTTGTTCTTTCCTGTGTGAGCATGAAGACGGGAGCTGAGTTTCTGATGATGAGTTCCAGGCCAAGTGAAAGATACTTTGTCTCAAAACACTGGAGTAGGTAGCACCTGGAAAATGGTGGCGCTGTACACATGTGCACACAGCAGGGTGAGGAGTGAAAGACTGAGAAGTAAGAGGGACAGATGTCATTTTTAGCAGAGGAAGTGTTCAGTGTAAGTTAGAACTGTAGCATTTTAGCTGTTTGGTTGTTGGAAAATCCAGCACAGGGCGTAATGCATGCTGGAAGTCACTCTTCTGCTCAGCCGTGTGTCCCCAGCGCTGGAAATACATTTCAGCACAATTGCCCTTTTACCCCTCTTGTTTTGTTGTTTTTGAGGCAGGGTTTCTCTGTGTAACTGTCCTGGAACTCGTTCTGGAGACCAGGCTGGCCTTGAACTCACAGAGATCCACCTGCCTCTGCCTCCCAAGTACATGTACCACCGCTTCCTGGCCTATTTATTTATTTGTTCCCTTGCTTGTTTGCCTATTTGCTTACTTATTTTTTGGTTTTCTTTTGCCCCCTCCTTTAGTTAAATGATTTATTAATATGTTTTTGCTCACTGTTATTTAACAGTAATACATACGTTATTAGGAATGTAAGACCGTCCCAGTGTGAGCACTTGAACTGCACCTAGGAGTGAACTATATGTAGCCCTAAGAGGGTGTTTGCACAGGGGAAGGTGATGGAAGTATTGGAACAGATGTGGCATCTCTCCTCTTTAAAAACAAATGTAAACGTATTTGTGGGTGGCTGCAGTCAGGCCCTTACACACCTGCAGAGGTCAGAGGTCAGCTTCCAGGGTTGTTTCCTCCTTGGCCTCAGGTTGTCAGGCTTGTGCAGCAAAGACCTTTCACCGCCCTCCCCCAAGCATGTCACTGGCCTGTGTGTTTCCTTTTGAAGTGTGTGTACAAAGAAAATGCATTCTGCTGTTTTAGACGATGAAGATGATCCTGCAGAAGCAGAGAAGGAAGGAAATGAAATGGAGGGTGAGGAGTTAGACCCTTTAGATGCCTACATGGAGGAAGTGAAGGAGGAAGTAAAGAAGTTTAACATGAGGAGTGTGAAAGGTGGTGCTGGGAATGAGAAGGTACGTGGCTGGCTGCGGGAGGGCCGACTCGTCACTGTGATTGCTCCGTTGATCTGCAGGGTGAGAAGTTAGGCGGTGCCACGTGTCTTTAATTCCTGCCCTCAGGAGGCAGAGTCAGGCGGATCTCTGAGTTTGAGGCCAGCCTGGTCTACAGAGTGAGTTCCAGGACAGCCAGGGCAACAGAGGAACCCTGTCTCTGAAAAACAGATGAGCAAAGACAAACAAAAATCTATTCAGATTTAGATGTTCTGCCTTAAGTTCTGAGTGTGTGAATGTATCTGACATTGGAAAGTTCACACAAAACAAAATGAAGCTTTCTTGGTCTTGAAACTTGAATCGTGTTAGTTCCATTTACATTTTGTAGGGTTTAGTATTGTCTTGCATCTGGTGTCCACGTATTTTAAAACCTATTCTTTGTTTTACTTTTTGCACAATATTTTAATACCTCTTTTTTATTTTAGAAGTCTGGGCCGACAGTCACAAAAGTTGTTACTGTGGTAACAACCAAAAAAGCAGTAGTAGATTCCGATAAGAAGAAAGGGGAGCTGATGGAGAATGACCAGGATGCTATGGAGGTGAGTCTTCATTTGACTTGGTTTATGATTGATTGTGTCCTAGGAGCAGTTATCGCAAAGCTTGATGTCGATGTGCTTAGCGGCTAGTTACAGAAGCCACCCTGTCAGACAGACTCTAGGCAGTAGCGTGGTCATCTAACTTTGCTGTGTCCTACTTTTCATTCCCTCTGCTTTATTGCTCATCTCAGACCTACAGCAGAAAAGTGAAGAAGTGAAATGAATGGCATTTCTTCCCTTAATCTATACTGCAAGGTTCTATGTAGTGAAAACAGTAGCAAAACTTTAATGACATTGCTGAGAATTATGTGAGGCTTGTATTACTATTAAAACTTTGAATAAAGAAAACATTAAATTAAGTTGAAAACTTTTTAAGGAGTTGATTTACTTATGTGGAAAGTCATGGACATTCTTACTTGAGAGTTTTAGGATATGCAATCTTCATTTTCTTGGAATGGTAGGGAAGCCTTGTGGACTTCAGATAGCATCTGAAGCGGCCGCAGAGGGTGTCCTGAGAGAGACAAAGGCTTTGACAATTAGGACTTCTGGCTCCTGGAAGGGGATGAATAATGAACTTTCCTTTTTGTCCCTGAAAATTCAAGTATTCTTCAGAGGAGGAGGAAGTTGATCTTCAGACGGCTCTCACAGGCTACCAGACAAAACAGAGAAAACTTCTAGAACCAGTTGATCATGGAAAAATTGAATATGAACCATTCAGGAAAAATTTTTATGTTGAAGTTCCAGAACTAGCGAAAATGACTCAGGAGGGTGAGATGTTTCTGTTTGCTTGGTTATTTTATGGTGGCCTCTGGGAGGGTGCTCCACTCCTCACTGGGAGTGTTTGAGTGTGCATAGGTCTGGAAGTTGGAAGATGTTTCTGGAAGTATTTTTAAAAAGAGCAAAATGGATTTAGTCACATAGCTGATGTTCTTAGGGTTGAAAGTGTTGTTCATGTGAGATTCAAACAAATTGTTTCTGTTGGTCCTGTTGGTGTGAGACAGTTGGTATGGCTAACAGCCATCAGTCTGCTGTTGGTTAGCCAAAGGCCATCTGAGCAGCTCATGCTAGAAGAGGTGGTTCTGCCAGTCAGTCATTCGTTACGCTTGCAGTTGAGGAAAATATGAAAACCAAAGTGTTGAAATTGGGTATTTCCCGCTATTCTTGATTTACTGCAGCAGTAATTACTCTGTCTCTCTGAGCTTTAGTGTTTCTGTTGTATGTAGCTCAGCTATGGGGTTTTACCAGGTAGCATGTTTGACTTTTGACCACCCAGTGACTGGAAGAAAATGGTACCAGTAGAGGAGCTTCTAACAGTGGTTTTGTTTTCCAGAGGTGAATGTGTTCCGATTGGAAATGGAGGGCATTACAGTTAAAGGGAAAGGTTGTCCCAAACCAATTAAATCATGGGTCCAGTGTGGAATTTCCATGAAGATACTAAATTCCCTCAAGAAGTAAGTGGCTGATGGTCATGCACTTTTCTTTCGGGTCCTGCTGCTCACAGTAGCTCTTTCATGCAAATATCTCTGGGTTTCAAGTCTATTCATAACTGGAAATGTTTTTCTTTGATGAAGGGACCCGTTCCAGGTAATTGAGCGTGCTAGGGAGGTATTCTACCCTGAGCTGTATCTCAGCCCCAGGCCAGTTTTAACAGATTGTAAGTGTGTCTATTGAGCTGTACTGTGAAGGTGGAGGTGACACTTTGGAGAACACAACCCAGCGATATGCTTATGGGTTTGTGCAGCTATCCGGTTGTAGAACATTTTCATCACTCCATAGAATCCCCAGCCTTTACCAATCTTCTCCCATGATACAGGTAGAATTATACAGCATGTCATCTTTTCTGACAGTTTTTGTCATTTGGTAAAATCACTGTTTTCAGGGTTCCATGTTGTGGAATTTCTTTCCATGTTGTCTTCATTCCTTTCCTTGTCAATTAAAAGCCATTTATTTATTTTAAAAAGTATTTATGCTCCGCCCCCCCCCACCCCAAAAGACTCTCCATGTACTCTGTCTAGCCTTGGCTGGAACTCACTATGTAGACTGGGCTGGCCTTGAACTCACAGATGCTCTTGCCTCTGCCTCCTCAGTGCTGGGATTAAAGGAGTGTGTCACCATGCTAGGCTTTTAAATATTTCTTTTCATTTGTTTATCCCATGTATTTTAGTTTGTGCATGTATGCATGCTTGCTTAAGCACATGCACCATGGCATGTGTGTGGATGGAGGTTAGACGCTAACTTGGGGGAATCTAGTCTTTCTTGCTACCTTGTGGGTTGCAGGTATGTATGCAGGTTATCTGGCCTGTATGCAAGTAAGCCATTTGCTTGCCCAGCCCTTGCTTGGCCTTTTCTGCTTTCCACCAAAGAATATTTTATCAGGTGGATATGTCACATTTAGAAAAGGAGATGTTTGTGCTCCCCTGAGGGGCTTAATGCTCATGGCTCTTACTTTGTGTTCTTTCTCTTTTAAGGCATGGCTATGAAAAGCCCACACCAATCCAAACTCAAGCAATTCCTGCTGTAATGTCTGGACGAGATTTGATTGGCATTGCCAAGACAGGAAGTGGAAAAACCATTGCCTTTCTTTTGCCCATGTTTAGACACATCATGGATCAGAGATCATTAGAAGAAGGAGAGGGGCCAATAGGTATAAGTCTTCTCATCTCATGATGCTTGGATGTGCCTGTTACATATAACATCAGAAAGATCTAACCCTTTGAGTTATTAATTGTGATAATGAAGCTCTCTTGATGAGCATATTCTTTATCAACATGGCAGTTTGGGGCTGATTTCCCCTTACCAGCAGGTGGGCTGAGAATCTTCAGAGCTTTGGAGTGACATCTAAGAATTCTGACCCAGCAGGTAGACCCCTCATGCATCTATCTGTGTTTATGTTGAGGTGTGTTCTCAGCCCAGAGTGCATTATAAAGTCGGGGTAGAATTACGAGATAGTCCTTTGGCCTCAAAGGTGATAGTTCCAGTGTTTCATGTAGGATTAGGTCTTCAGATTCAGATTTCTTCTCGTTTTTCAAAGTTACTCTTTGCATATTTGATTAGAGAAAGTTGTTGCGCTCCTTCTGTGCAAATCCAGGCACCGTGTATTCTCTGTGTGCCTCTCAGAGCCATGTGCTTTTGGGGAGCAGCTGTGTGGCTTCTGTAGCACAGTGGGTCACCTGGTTGCCTTTGTTCTGTGATTTGCTGTTGAAAACTTTTCGTTCTGTTCAAGTGCTTTTCTGAGGTTTAAGTATGGTGTTTAACTCTTAATTTTCTTGTGGCATATTCTTAAGAATCTATTTGCCCTTTACCTCAGTTCCTGCTGTTACTAAGCTTTTGAAACATGAATTTCCAGATTTCCATAAAGACAAAACAAATTTGACTGAGCCCGGGCCTGCAGAGGTCAACGTTAGCTTTTCTGAATGTCTTCTAAATGTTTGGGTTAGGCTTTGACGTATTTATCTTTTCAGCTGTCATCATGACTCCAACTCGAGAACTGGCTTTACAGATCACTAAAGAATGTAAGAAGTTTTCGAAGACCTTGGGACTCAGAGTGGTCTGTGTGTATGGAGGGACAGGAATCAGCGAGCAGGTAGTTAGAATAAAGCATTTAGCCCTTCTGTCTTTTCCAGATTGAATGTTCCAGTGAGTTAAAAAGTAATTCTTTCCTGTTAGTGTGATTGCTCTTTAAATCTTAAAGGGATTTGGTGTGAAATGATTATAAGAATGAGTTATATGCCTGTTCTGTGCCCATAATCCCAGCACTGAGAAGACTGGGGAAGGAGGTTTGCTAGTTTGAGGCCTTAGAACTACACTGAAAGACCCTGTCTTTAAAAGTAAGAGTGTGTGTGTGTGTGTGTGTGTGTGTGTGTGTGTGTGTGTGTGTGTGTGTAGTGTGTAGATAGGATATACATCCCAAGTGCTGGTTTTAAAGGTGTGCACCACCACTGCCTGTCTATAAAACAAGTTGTGTGTATTTGTTTGTGACAGGATCTCAGCCCAGGATGGCTCTGAACTTGCTGTGTAGCCAAGGGTGACCTTGATTTCCTGATCTTACTTTTCCCATCTTCCAAGTGCTGGGCTTATATACCTATGCCACTGCATCTGGCAAGAAAATAAACTTCGGACCCGGTTGGTAGTGATACACACCTTTAATCCCAGCACTTGGGAGGGAGAGGCAGGTGGATCTCAGTGAGTTCGAGGCCAGCCTGGTCTACAAAGTGAGTTCTAGGACAGCTGGGGCTGGGACTGTTACACAGAGAATCCCTGTCTCGAGAAACCAAAGCAAAAAAAAAAAAAAAAAAAAAAAAAAAAAAAAAAAACCCAAAAAACAAAATTGTGAAAGCAAAACAACAAAAATACGTCTTGAAGCCTTCGCAGTGAGAATGGGATGTGCTTTTGCTGCAGGGACTTTAAGTTCCTTCCAGACAGCAGGTGAGGGTGATGCTGCCAGGCTCACCTAAGCTTAGAGTTCAGAGAAGCATCTTCGGTCTTTCCTAGAAGAAACAGAAAGAAAATTAAAGCATTAATCACAAGTTTATGTGTGACTGGTCTCTGTTAGTAGAACTTAGTTCTACTGGAAAGGAACTATTATACTTTTTTTTTAGTTTATGTCTTGAAATTACATTATTGTGTGTGTGTGCACATCTGATGCAGTCAGAAGATGGTGTGTAGAAGTCCGTTCTCTCCTCTTATCATGTGGGATCTGGGCGCTGAACTTACCTTGTAAGGCTGGCAGCAGGCACCTTTACCACAGCACACACCACTATTTTTTTTATAATATATTTTGTTAAATACATAAAACACATATAGCAAACAGTATGTCTTCTGGAATATTTGCCACAGAAGAAGTCACTCTTGCTGGTACCTGTAACTGTAGGAGGTAGGCCAACATTGCAGAATTTGCAATTGCTTTAGGGCTGGAGAGTGGTTCAGTGGTTAGAGCACTGTCTGCGCCTCTAGAGGTCTTGGGATTAATTCCCAGTGCCTGCAGGGTGACTCCAGTCCCCGGGAGAGCAGTGCCCTCCTCTGGCCTCTGCAGGCATTGTATTGTGTGGTGCATAGACATACATGCAGGCAAAACACCCATACACACCCTGAAGGGCGGAAGGAAAGAGGATGAGCTAGTGCGTGCATACGGTGTAACCTGGTACGTGCCTGTGTGTTTGTGTAGAGCTCAGGCAGGGGTCACCATGTCCAGGTGCCTTCATTGTCACTTGTATTTTTAAAATTGGCGGAGGCTTACAAGACTGATGTCATGGGTTCCTAAATTTGGAAAGCATCCATCTCATTAAATATAAGAGTATATATTTTATTACCTATTCTGATCTTCCTTTCTTGGTTTTTGAGCAATAGTTGCAAATTAAAATTGGTGGAATTCATTAGGTTCATTAGTTTCAAATGTTGGCCTGGTTGTCTCTGCTGCTCTCTGTCCTCAGAACTGTAGCAGCCCAAGGGTCACATACCAGCCTCCAGTCTCCTACTCAGACTCTGTCTCACTGGGTAGAGCCATGGATGGGCCAGATGCTGTCCTCACATCTGCTCAAGAAGCAGTGATGACTCCTGTAAAATTTCATCCTGTTTCATTAGATCGCTGAGCTGAAAAGAGGTGCTGAGATTATTGTTTGCACACCTGGTCGAATGATTGACATGTTAGCGGCTAACAGTGGTAAGTCACAGGTATTTTTTTGTTTTCTTTTCCTTTTTGAACTTGACACATTTTTGTTAAAGCAGATATGAGAAACCAACAGAGGGTTTCTATGTTTCTTCTTAAAGCTGTAATATCTTAAAGTGTGAATTGTGACACATTTATTATTGAAAGAATTTTTAAGTTTTTGGCAGTTTAATTTTTTTTTTCCCCCGCAACTAAATCTGTAGGACCTTATTAGCATTTGATTTTGCATTATAGTCCTTTTATTACAAAATGCTCCGAGGGAGCTAGTATTTTATACTAATAGACACATTAAGATATTGCAGCTTCAAGAAATGTGTCTGTTGCAAATACTGCATGTTTTTAGCTCAAATGTTATGCTTTGTTAAAATACTCCCTATCAAAACTGATACTAAACTGTTGACATTGTTTAACTTCTGTGGAGAAAGGCCCTTGAGGATGTATAGACCTGGGCTTCCGAGACGGTAACCGCCCAAGGTAGGTGACTTAACACTGTTTCCAACCTTTCGAGAGAGACTCTGTCGGCTGGAGATGTTAGTTTGAGCACCACCTGTTTAGTTTTGGAAGAAACTGCTCTTTAGAGGTTTCCATCGAAGTGTTTGGTCTGTTTATAACTGAGTGCTGGGAGCTGAAGTGCATGTTTGTACTAGTGTCCCGCCTGAGCTTGGGGTAAACTTAATTCTCCGTGAGGTTTGAGGTCTTGCGCTTATGTAGCAGATGAAGGTTGGGGATGAATACTGACTGTGTAATCCCTTGCTTTTTCCCACTGTTGTATTAATTAAACCTCCTGAAACTCATCTGGATTAATTTTACCTTTTCCTTTATTTGTCTTTTTCATTTATCTTTTAATGACTATTTTTGCCAGGTGGTTGGTTCTGCAGTTGATAGCAATGCTTTTTATTATTTTATGAGAGGGTTTTCTGCATTTTTAGTTTTTAGCTGGTTAAGAAGCCAGGATTACTTATTTAAACCAGTGGCCCCAATTAATAATTTAATGTGTATCTTTGCATAGAAAAGTATATTTGTATGTAATGCGTTTATCATTGTTACCCGGTGATTTTGAGCCGTTTACTAATGGTTTGACATGCCCAGTTAAGGCACTTCTAACCGTATGGCAGTAGGCTGTAAAGAAATAGAGGTTTTCTGCCTCCTAAGTAGTTAGCACTGGAACCTGCTTTCCACACATACGCTGTAATCTCTAATATGTTTTTTTCTAGGTGATGCTGTCAGATAATGGCTGATGTGGCTCGATGCTTCATCTCAGTCTTAGTTTTATGATGTGTTTTGGAGAGGGCTGTTTTCTGAATTTTACAGGTTCTTCAGGCCCTATGATGGTATGCAAGAGACGAGTTTGACAAAATAAAGGGCCTCATGTACCCACTGTCAGAAAGTACTTGCCACTAGATTAAGTCTTTTAGACCAAAGTTTCTTTTCACTGTTTAAAGAAACCTAACCTACCCCTCTGCTTAAGTCAGGCATTTTAGTTCCCTTTATGGTTTTTTAAAGTTCTTTATTGTCATAATGATTTGTGGCTGATAGTTAGTTTTCTTTTTGTTTTTCTTTTTTCTTACCTTAGGTCGGGTCACAAATCTTCGGAGAGTGACGTATGTTGTTTTAGATGAAGCAGACAGAATGTTTGACATGGGTTTTGAACCACAGGTAATGATTAAGTTTCTCTATAATTTTAATTGTGTGTGTGGTGTGTGTCTTTGTGGTGTGTGCACATGAATGCTGGTGCCTGCAGAGTCTAGTGTGAGCTGTTCTCGGTGGGTGCTGGGTGGCTGCCTGGAACTGGACTTGGGTGCCCTGTAAGAGCCACCTCTTCAGCTCCTCATTGAGGTTCTTAAGATTTTGAATTATAAAGGGGATTCTGTAACTGTTGTGAGAATGAAATGTTTGTGTGGTCTTGAAATTCTCACCCCTTCCGTTTCTCCTGGTATTACAGTGTGTCGGCACCGTGGGGAACTGAAGTAAATATTTACATTGCAGATTAAATTCTTAAAACTTGATGGTTTTTGTTCTGGCAATCCTCAGCAATCTGGAATATCATGGGTCAGGCTGGATTTAGAGTACTAATAGTAAGAGTACTAAAAAGGTTGAAATTGCTGGGTGGTGGTGGCACACGCCTTTAATCCCAGCACTCAGGAGGCAGAGACAGGTGGATCTCTGAGTTTGAGGCTAGCCTGGTCTACAGGGCGAGTTCTAGGACAGGTTCCAAAGCTACACAGAGAAACCCTGTCTCAATAAACCAAGAAAAGAAAAGAAAAAAAAAAAAAAAAAAAAAAAAACCCCACCAAACAAACAAAAACCTCCTTTGATATTTTGTTTGGACATGGTTTTGCATGCCTGTACTCCCAGCACTTGTAAGGCAGAGGCAGGGGGACTCCTGAGTTTGCGGCCAATTTAATCTGTGAGTTGCAGTCAGCCAGGACTGTGCAGACACCCTGTCTCAAAAGAAAGCCAAGAGAGCAGTGTAAGCTGTGAGCGTGCACTTCTGGGTGCACAGTGAAACCCTGTCTTAGGGAAGGGCTAGAGTGGCCATGGGAAGGGATCGCAGAGACATAGTGGTTAGCCTTTCAGTAACAGACATTGCCTGCCACATTATGTTTAGATTTAGAAACTGAATTATTATTATTATTATTATTATTTTTTTTTTTTTTTTTTTTTTTTTTTGAGGTGGCTTTACTGTGCAGCCCAGGCTGTCCTGGAACTCACAGAGATTCTCCTGCCTCTGCCTCTGCCTTCCCAGTGCTAGGATTAAAGGCACATGCCCTCCATACATGACTAGAAACTGAACTTTCAGTGAGATGTGAGAAGGTGGTCCTAAAAACCGCAGGGTTGTGGAACACTTGAATCATTTGACGGGCAGTTAGACTAGGTGACTTGGAGCAGAGGATGTACTGTCCTGTTCAGCTCTTTACAAGTTTATCATAGTCTGTGGGCTTGTGAATGGGACTGAAACCAAATGGGGAGGCTAAAGGGAACTGAACTGAATTTAACACATGGAAGGACTGATCAAGCTTTGTTCCGGGGAAAAACTGAAAAACTAGTTGCTTTGTCAGTGGGGGCAGAACTGAATGCCCCCCCCATGTTTATGTATTTATTTTGCATGAGTGTATGTGTGGGGGCCGGAGGGTTGACCCACAGCACAGATGCGAGAGTCAGATGACAACTTAAAAGAGTTGGTGTTTTCCTTCCTTCCATCATGTTGCACCCAGGGATTGAGCTCTGCAGTCAGACTTGGTGACAGGCTCCATAAGCTATGAAGCCAGTGTTGGTTTTTCTTTTCCTTTTTAGAGAATTATTACTACCAAAACCTGTGGAGAGGAAAATTAGAGAGAGTGGTGATTTATTTGAGCTTTATTGGTTAAAAGCACAGGGTAGGGCTTGTGTCACAGGAAACTATTTGGATATTGATAAATCACTGTGACTAATAAAACTTTAGGAAGAGAGAGATCATGTTTTGGCCTCTGTGATGGCTCTGTTTGGATAGAGTAGGAAGGCAGTAGGATGATTCTAGGTAGACGTCTATATTGAGGAAGAGAATGAAAATTGAGAATTAAATCACGTCATTGAATGCGTATCTTTCACTAAACTAAGCTGTGCAGTGACACAGGCCTTAGGTGCCGGACTCTGCTTTCCCATATATTATTGCAAATAAATAGACTTAAATTTTAAACTTCAAGGGCAAAAAGTTAGCTTTTAGGGATGTGGAGAGTGTGTGGTCAGCAAAATGCTGGCAGGGGCCTGGCCTTGGTTCCCAGAGTGTACACGGAACACAAAGGCAGCTCTGGTGATGCACTCAGAACCCTGGTACTCAGCAGTGGAGACAGCAGGTCGGTCCCTGGGACTCACTGTCAAACCTGCCGTGCATACTCGGTGAGGTCCAGTATTGTGGGATAAATAAGGATCAGGGGAAACAGATAGGCTGATGGATGTTTATTCAGGGCAGAATCACTTACAACAGAGCAGATGACCGCCAGCAGGTTCCTGTCCCAAGGATGCCACTGGATACTATCTGACAGAGCAGATGACCGCCAGCAGGTTCCTGTCCCAAGGATGCCACTGGATACTATCTGTCTCCAACCAGGAAGCAAGAGAGGGCCTCTGGGGTCCCTGACCCCAGACCTAGTTCTCCCTGGTCAAGTCTGCACCTGTCCCCACCACCAATGGTCATGGCAATAGGTGGTCATGGCAACAGGTGCGGAGGGAATGAATATCTCAGTACAGTCCAGACCAGTGAGAGACCCTGTCTCAAGGGGAAGAGAAAGGTGAATGTAGCTAGGGTAACAGTGACCTCTGACTTCCATGCATGCATTCTCTGATATGAACACTTGTGCATTCTCTCTCTCTCATATCCACACTTTCTCTCACACACAGGCACATCTTCCCCCCCTCCCCCCACACACAATGAATTTTTACTGTGGAGGACAAAATAAGTTTTAAAGGAACAAACTCATAGATGGCTGCTTGCTTACCTTGCTTCTGTCATAAACCTTAACTGCTTTTAATTTTACTAAAGAAAAAAAAATGTTATTAACAGATATTCCTCACTACTGGGAGAGAGTTGATTATGTGGGATGAATCAGCAGACTTGAGGGTGATAGGGACAGCAGCCATTACCAAACTTGAGGGGCAGAGAGGGCGAAGACTCGAGAGAAGTTAGTGGAGTGTGAGGAAACGAGGCCTGATGAGGATTCAGCCCTCCTTAACGACTCATTTCCCCGTGGAGATCAGTTTGGCTGGGGTTTGACAGTGCGGGATGAGATGAAGGTTCTCATGTGCACCCTGGTTTTCTTTGTTGTTTGTTTTCGAGACAGGGTTTCTCTGTAGCTTTGAAGCCTGTCCTGGAACTCACTCTGTAGACCAGGCTGGCCTTGAACTCACTGAGATCCACCTGCCTCTGCCTCCTGAGTGTGCTGCCACCACTCAACTGTGTGTGTGTGTGTGTGTGTGTGTGTGTGTGTGTGTGTGTGTGTGTGTGTGTGTGTGTGTGTTTTCAATACAGGGTTTCTCTGTGTAGCTCTGGCTGTTCTTTTTCTTTCATTTTGAAGTGCATTGATTTACATATTTATTAACTGTATTAGTGTGGGGGCATGCAAGTGCCAAGGTTCATGCCCACCCTCCCTCCTTCCTTCTCCCTCTCTTCTTCCCCCTCCCTCCTCCCCTTCCCTCTCCCTCCTCCCCTTCCCTCTCCCTCCCTCCCTCTTTCCCCCTCCCATCTTCCCCCTCCCTCTCCCCCCTCCTGACCTTCCCCCCCCCTCTCCTTCCCTCCCTCCCATGTGGCTGTGGTACACATGCATGCATGTGTGTGCAGATGTGTCTGGAAATCAGGATGGTGTTGGTTTTTCTTGAGGAGCAGAACAAAGCTTGTCATGGGACCTAGGGCTGCTGGTTAGGCTGTCCTGGCAGGCAGGGAAGCCCCTGGCTGGGTACACGTGCGTGTTTCCCACCCAAGCGCTAGGCTTGGGACTCAGGGCCTCATGCTTGTCCCAGCACATACCCTTGATGCCCCAGCTCAGCCTGCCCTTTCTTGACAAAGTGAAACTGAAAGCTGCTGCGTATAAGGTATAAAGTAAACTCGGACTTTTTAAAGATAATGAGTGTGAAGTAACTGAAATAGTTCTCCAAAGCTCCTTCTGCATGACTTGAGCATGGTGCAAGTCTTCGGAGACTCATTGTATTTATATATTGTTTTCTCAGGTCATGCGCATTGTGGATAATGTCCGTCCTGACCGACAGACAGTTATGTTTTCAGCTACTTTCCCTAGAGCTATGGAGGCTTTGGCCCGCAGGATCCTGAGCAAGCCCATTGAAGTTCAGGTTGGAGGCAGGAGTGTGGTTTGCTCAGATGTGGAACAACAAGTGGTGGGTGCCTCCTTCAGGGGTGTCGGTGTCTGGTGTGTGGGTGCCACCTTCAGGGGTGTCGGCGTCTGGTGTGTGGGTGCCTCCTTCAGGGGTGTCGGTGTCTGGTGTGTGGGTGCCACCTTCAGGGGTGTCGGCGTCTGGTGTGTGGGCGCCACCTTCAGGGGAGTCGGTGTCTGGTGTGTGGGTGCCACCTTCAGGGGGGTGTGTGGGCGCCACCTTCAGGGGTGTCGGCGTCTGGTGTGTGGGTGCCACCTTCAGGGGTGTCGGTGTCTGGTGTGTGGGTGCCACCTTCAGGGGTGTCGGTGTCTGGTGTGTGGGCAGGGTGTGAGCAGTCCTTTCTGTATCTTACTTGTGGGAAGGTAAATACCCTGTAAAGTTAAATATTACGTATCAGTTATAATCTTCATTCTGTTCAGGTGCATGGAACTGACTTAACAAAGCTCTTTTTAGTTCTTCCCACCAGAATTGAGGGCTCACAGGAATGTTATAGATCCTTCTTGTCTTTGATTGATAGGATTTGAGGTTATGGGACAGAGAGAGCCCAGTGACCAGTTGCCATAGTTACAGATCTACCAGTTAAAAGTCCATGTTTGCAGGAAGCTATTATTTTCTACTCAATTCACTACAGATTAAACAAAAGTTTTTGTTTTAGCACACATATGTGTTTGTTACATTAACTTGCTACGATGTGGTATTTTCAGATTGTGATTGAAGAGGAAAAGAAATTCTTGAAATTGCTGGAGCTTTTAGGTCATTATCAGGAGTCGGGGTCTGTCATTATATTTGTGGATAAGCAGGAGCACGCTGACGGTCTTCTGAAGGACCTGATGAGGGCATCTTACCCTTGCATGTCTCTTCACGGAGGTAACGTTTGCTAACTTCCCCACAAGCATGTCTTGAGTATTTAACTTGCCAGGAACTGTCTTGTGCTGTGAATAATACTTGTTTTGTTACCTATAACGGAGGTGGAAGAAATGTGACAGACATTTGACAGAATTCCAGCCTCGAGTTTTCATTTTTATACAGCCTGACTGAGCACGGGCATTAGAGACTTACCTCATGCCTTCATTTTTATACAGCAAGCACTGTTTCCAAGGACAGCCACTGAATCTTCTCCCTGCCTCCTTGTACCTAGAACGTTTCCATTATCCCAAGTGGAAACTGTACTTGTTTTTTGTTTGTTTGTTTGCTTGCTTGCTTGTTTTTTTGAGACAGGCTTTCTCTATAGCTTTGGAGCCTGTCCTGAACTAGCTCTGTAGACCAGGCTAGCCTCGAATTCACAGAGATCCCCCTGCCTCTGCCTCCTGAGTGTTGGGATTTAAGGCAATGTGCCACCAATGCCTGGCAGGAAACTGTATTGTTAAGCAATTATTCTCTTTCTTCCACCTGTCCATTATAACTTTGATACTGCCATACTATCCTATGTCCTTATGAATTTCTTATCCTTTGTACTGTGTATTGTGAAATAATACATTTATATCCTTTTGTGCCATAGTATCCTATGTCCTTATGAATTTCTTATCCTTTGTACTGTATATTGTGAAATAATACATTTTATATCCTTTTTTGTTTGATTTGGTTCACTCAGTCATGATTTTGTGATTCATGTTTTGTTTTAACATGTTAGGTTTTCTTCTAAGAGTTGGAAAATACATCGTTTTGTGTATGTTTACTGTCTTCTCTTGATTCGCTTGTTGATAGAGAACTGGAATTTTATTATTTGACTGTTTTGTATGATATGAATATGATATGTGGATATCTTAACAGCTTTCAGTTCTTTTGAGTAGTGGAGTTGCTAGAATCATAGACTCGGACCTTTTTGAGAAATCTTCAAATTGATTTCTTTCTTTAAAAGATTTATTTATTTATTTATTTATTATGTATGCCATGTTTGTTCTGCCTGCGTGTATGTCTGCACGACAGAAGACAGAACCAGAGCTCATTATAGATGATTGTGAGCCACTATGGTTGCTGGGAATTGAACTCAAGATTTTGTTTTTTATTTCTGCATTTGGAACTTTCTCAGTGGAAATGGAAAATTTCAACATGTTTTTCTGTTTGTTTCTTTAATTTACTTGCAGGTATTGATCAATATGACAGGGATAGCATCATAAATGACTTCAAGAATGGAACCTGCAAACTTCTCGTGGCCACATCTGTTGCTGCTCGAGGTCTAGATGTGAAACATCTAATTCTTGTAGTAAATTACAGCTGCCCCAACCATTATGAAGATTATGTGCACAGAGCTGGACGGACTGGAAGAGCAGGCAACAAAGTAAACATTTTACAGTCATGTCTTCATTAAAGCACAGGTGTTTACTTTCAGGAGTAGACAGCAGAGTGATGATATTTTGAAAATCTTTAAAAAGCAGAAAGTGATTGGGTCCTGTTAATCACATACGTGTGTGCCTCCGTGTTGTTACACTTACTAGTTATGAGGCTGGAAAGGCGATGCTGCAGTTAAGAACACGGCTTTTTTTTTTTTTTTTTGCAGAGGACCTGTGTTCTGTTTACAGTTCACCACCGTCTGTGACTCCAGTTCTGAGGGTCCTGATGGCCTCTTCTGGTCTTAGTGGGTACCAGGTGTTTATGTGGTGCACAGACACACAGGCAGAATACCCACACACATTTCAAAATCAAAACTAAGCCAGGGAGTGTTGGTGTGCGTCTTTAATTCCAGCACTTGGGAGGCAGAGGGATGCGGATCTTTGTGTGTTTGAGGCCAGCCTGGTCTACAGAGTGAGTTCCAGGCCAGCCAGAGCTACACAAAGAAAAATCCTCTCTTGAAAAACCAAAACCAAAACAAAACTAAGATGAACAGGTACCTTGGTAGTTTATTGCAGGTAGCAGTAATAGTTTGTATCTCTCAGATGTAGAGATACTTGTATGTAATTCGATGTTTCATTGCTTTTTGTTACCTGCTTTCTTGGCTTGACATATAGTCTAAGGCATTGGTTCTCAACCTTCCTAATACTATTGTGACCCTCCCCATAAAATTATTCTGTTGCTACTTCATAACTGTAATTTTGCTACTGATAAGAATCATATTGTAAATGTCTGATATGGGACTCCCAATGGGGTCATGACCCACTGGTTGAGAACCATTGGTCTAAGGTGTCTTTCTGCTGTTATATTTGGAGGATGATATCGTAACTTTGCCAAAGCTGTTAACAGATGTATATGCACCACCACATACAACAAAAGCAATTCTTATTTTCTATTTTGCAATGCCAGGAAATATAGCAAGGCCAGTCATTTTTTTTTTTTTAATTAATTAGTTAATTTTGTTTTGTTTTGTTTTTTGAGACAGTATATCTCTTTATAGCTTTGGAACTCTCTCTGTAGACCAGGCTGGTCTTGAACTCACAAAGATTTACCTGCTTCTGCCTCCCAAGTGCCAGGATTAAAGGTATCTGCCACCGCCTCCCAGCTAACTAATTAAGTTTTATGTGTGTGAATGTTTTCCCTGCCTGTCTGTTCACAAGATGCATGCAGTGTCGGAGGCCAGAAAGGGATGTTGGGTCCCTTGGACCTGGAGTTAAGACAATTGTGAGCTGCTGTGTTGGTACTGGAAATCTAACCAGGTCCTCTGGAAGAGCAAATGGTGCTCTTAGCCACTGAGCCATGAGAGTGTTTCATTGTTAGGATTAGTAATAATGATATACTTGATTTTTTTTTTCATCCTTAAATGTTGCATCATGGTGAAGAGTAGCACCAAGAATAGCTTATATTTCTGCCAAACTAACTGTATGCTAGGCAACGTTCTAAGGTCTTTACATACATCATTTCATCATCAGTCTCCCAATGAAATAGATAGGAGTTCATTTTATCATTGACAAAAACTGTGGCAATAGTACCTCCTCATCTGAGGAATTGTGAGGGATCTGGAAATTTGCCCTGTAAAAGGCTAAGGGGTGGGACTGGAGAGGTGGATACTGGTTAAGAACACTCGCTCCTCTTATACAAAGGCTAGCACCCAAATGGTAGCTCACAACTGTGACCCACTTCGAGGGGACCCTGGGTACTCTGGCCTCCATGGGTTCCTGTATGCATGTGGAATACAGGCATACCTCAAACACATATACACATAAAATAAAGAAATGAATAAAATTGTTGTTGTTTCAAAGACAGGGTTTCTCTCTGTAAGAGTCCTGGAACTCAGTTTGAAGACCAGGCTGACCTTGAACTCACTGAGATCCACCTATCTCTGCTTTCCAAGTGCTGGGATCAAAGGCATGTGCCGTCACCGCCTGGCGTAGTTTTTTTTTTTTTAAAGGTTAAAGAGTACCAGCTACATTTTAGGGGCCACATGTGTTTTCATCACACCCTATTTCTCTTTGCACATACGTGTCTGTAACGTACAAAGCGGGGTTTGTAGCTCATTGGAAGAGTGGCAGCAGGTAGCAACTTCAGGTGTCCTGAAATTAGGTTAGAGTGTCTGTGAGGGTGACAGCCTCATGGTTTGCTCTCTCTCCTGCCCCAGCCTTCTCTTGCATGGACTGAACACTGCTCGCTTTCGAGACTCCCAGGAAGATGATACAACCTATTTCATTTTTGCAAAATAGTTTCAGAAGTACGTAGGTAAAGAACGTGTTTGTGTTCTTAATCTAATACAAACACACACTTTGCATCTTAAAAACACAGCAGAGCATAAAGGTGTGTCTCTCTAATACCAGCACTTGGGAAGCAGAGACAGCATTAAGTTCACCTTGAGCTACAGAGCTAGACTCTGACTCAGGAAACAAACCAAAAAATGGAAAGCTATGTATATAAATATCCTAAAACTTACATGTTAAAGCTCAGCGTGGTGATTCATGCACGCAATCCCAGCACTTGGAAAGCTGAGGCAGGAGGCTTGCTATCAGTTGAAGGCCAACATTAGATATAGGAGCACTGGCTGCTCTTATGGAGGACCCTTGGTGACAACTGTCTGTTAACTCCAGTCTAAGGGATCCAGCACCCTCTTATGGCCTCCATATATGTGGTACACAGACATGCATGCAGGCAAACATTCATCTCCAAAAAAACTTTAAAAATTTTTTATGTTTATGAATGTTTTACTTTCATGTATGTGTAGACAGTGCCTCTCCAGCCACCATCCTGCAATTGACAGAGAGCCTTATTATTAATTATGAAATCAGCCCTATGGGGCTGGAGAGATGGCTTAGAGGTTAAGAGCACTGTCTGTTCTTCCAGCGGTCCTGAGTTCAATTCCCAGCACCCACGTGGTGGCTCACAACCATCTGTAATGAGCTCTGGTACCCTCTGCTGGCATGCAGGCATACATACAGACAGAATACTATATACGCAATGAATAAAGAAATCTTAAAAAGAGAAAGAAAGAAATCAGGCCCATGCTTAAGCTTATCCTAACTAGTTTCTGTAACTTAAATTAGACCTTTTTTTTTTTATTAATGTATATCCTGTCATGTGGTGTTAGCTCTGATCTAGCTGTTTCTCCTGTTTCCTCTCTGTCTCCTGGTGTCTTCCTCATGTAGGATTTGTCTAGGTTCCTCTTCCTACCTCTTCTCTCTGCCCGGAAGTCCTGCCTTTACCTCCTGCCTACCCATTGGCTGTTCAGTTTTATTATACCAAATTGTAGCAGTACACCTTCACACCCTGTACAAATATGTACTCACACCACAAATGTGTGCGCGCGCCGTGTTCAGTGACCAGAGCTCAGAATGTTGTGTGCAGGCGTTCATTTGTGTTCCCAATGCTGAGGAGGTGAGGCACACACTCAGGTCCCTGTGACTTGCTGGCTAGCCAATCAGCCAAGCTTTCCTGGCAAACTCCAGGCCAGTTGGCGACTTCTTTTGTTAGATATTTATTTTGTTTAGTGTTCTAGCTACATGTATTCCTAGAGGCTAGAAGAAGGCACCAGATCTCATTGCATATGGTTCTTAACGACCATTTGTTGCTGGGAATTAAATGCTCTTCTTCTGGAAGAGCAGCCAGTGCTCTTAACCTCTGAGCCATCTCTCCAGCCTGGGACCCTGTGTTAAAATAGGGTGGAAAGCATCTGAGGATAGATGCCCAAGGTTATCACCTTGATTCGATCAACATGTGTGCGTGTCTTCTCCTAACATACGAGTACACATAAAAAGTGAATAAAATACATGTTGGTCATTTGTGCTTCATGTTTTGTAGAACTATTTACTCAGTTCATTATCTGTTTATTGATTGGTATGTCTGGGTTTGTTAGTGTTGGCAGTTTTTTGTCTGTCTTAGAGTCTACCTCTGTATGAAGTATAATTGGCAAAAGTTTTCCTTCCATTTTTTTCCCTTTACATTCACATTTATTCGTTTAGAATTGTTTTCATACAGTGGGTTTGATCATGCTTTTCTTCCCATTCTGTGTGGTGCCTTTTAACTCTGGTTATTGTTCCCTACAGCTTTTATTGTACACCACAGCTTTTACTCTCCTGTGATCCCATTTGCCAGCTCTTGGGCTCTTTCCTTGCTGTTGGAGAAAGCTTACGTGTTTGCCTGTGTAGACATTCGATTGCTAGTGTGTCTTGTGAGGAGCTCACCAAGGAGCTGTCTTAGAACAGAGTTGTTTCCTGCCTCCCAGACTGTCCCCCAGAGCCTCCTGTCCAGGGATAGACTGGCCTCTAACTGTTGGTGACAGCAGAAAAGTAAAACAGCTGAGAGTGAATGAATCTCCTGCAACAGAGGTTACATTGCTTAGCCCTAAAAAGTGTAGGAGGAGCAGAAGCTCCTCGGTGGAGTGGCAGAGGGCTCTGAATTGCAGCCACCTGCCTCAGCTTCTCCCCGTGGTCTGCTGGGTGTTTGTAAGGGCTCAATTTAACAGTGTGGTCTGCCTGCTGCTATTTGTTCTTTTATTTGAGAACCTTGTTGGAGGGATGCTCTGCTCCCCTGTGGACTCATGGCAGCCTCCCCGTTCAGTGTCTTGCTTGATAGTGTTACTGTTAGTTTGTTCTCTCCCTTCGCCTCCTCTATAATTCCTGACCTCAGATTATACAAGAGAGCCATCGTGAGGAACACAGCATAGTATTCACACAAGAATAGACATGCAGACAAGACAGAAAATACAAGGTCGAGAAAGAAAACCATCTCATTCTTCAAAGAGATGTAGAAAAATCTACACTGAACTCAAGAAAGAATTATCATTTTGAAATAATTTTTCTTTTTAGTGTTGTTTTGGATACTTGCCATCTTCTGTGCTTCTGTGAATTCCAGGATTCTTCTTCGTAGTTCCATAATGAATGTCATTGGAATTTTCTGGGTGTTATATTGACTCTGTGGATTACTTTTTAGTTATATAGCAATGTCACATTATTAATCCTTCTTGTGAGTAGTTACAGGTCTTTCCATCTTGTATCTTCTTCAGTTTCTTTTCTTTGGAGACAGGGTCTCATACCTTAGGTGGGCCTAGAACCCATTGTATAGCTGCCCCCAACTGTGTGGTGGGATAGAACCCAGGGCTTGGTGCATGCTGGCTAAGGACCCTGCCAATGGAACGCTTCTTAACACTTACTGCAGAAGTCTGCCTCCTTGCTTAGGCTTATTTCTAGACTGTTGTTAAGAGTCTGTGAATGCGGTATTCCTCATTTTCTTGTCGTGAGTTTGTGACTGGTTTGTACCAATGTCCTGGGGTTTGTATGTTGATTTTGAGTTGTCTAATTCTGCTTCCTCCTTTTCTAGGGCTATGCCTATACTTTCATCACAGAAGATCAGGCTCGCTATGCTGGTGACATAATTAAAGCTCTTGAATTGTCAGGCACGGCAGTGCCTCCTGACCTGGAAAAACTCTGGAGTGACTTCAAAGATCAGCAGAAGGCGGTGAGTCACCGACAGGACTGGGGACACTCTGGCTTTGTGGTGACTGTGCTCACTTATACCTTGTGTGTATTTTATGTTGTTCGGACAGGGTATTTCTACGTAGCTCTGGCTGTCCTGGAACTTGGTATATAGACCAAACGCTCAGATTTGTCAGTTTCTGCCTCCTGAGTGCTCATATGAAGGGTACACATCCAACCCCTTACAGTTTTTAAAAGGAAAAATAGTGGAAATAGAATCTTCTCTTTTGGTTACACTTCGTTGTGTTTTATTAAGTCTGTATACTTTACTTTGAAAATATTTAATAGTGTGTACTCTAAAAATTAACTTTGTTACCTTTTTTCTTAAAAGGAAGGAAAAATAATTAAAAAGAGTAGTGGTTTCTCTGGCAAGGGATTCAAGTTTGATGAAACAGAACAGGCTTTGGCCAACGAGAGGAAGAAGTTACAGAAAGCTGCTCTTGGCCTGCAGGACTCTGATGATGAGGATGCTGCGGTTGATGTGAGTATTGGAGTCTCTGCACATGTGCATGAAGCAGCCTATGGAAGTTGAAAGGTCATCCAGGCAGCCAGTTTAACTGTTTAATCCAGGAATTTTTTAGCGCACTTGTTCTTAGGACATTCTTTACACCTCATAGTGAACTATCCCAAGCTAGATGTGGTGGTCTGTGACTTTCCTACTCTGAGCAGTATGGCAGGAGTGATCCCCAAGTACAAGGTCAGCCTGGGCAACATAGTAAACTTTGTCATGTGGCCACAGATGCCCTCTGCTGAGAACACAGTCTTGTGAGTGTGCTCAGCCTGGCCATGCTGTTGGGGATACTGAAACCAGTGAGTAGTGGTCCAGGACCACACTGAACACAGACCGCATGTCTCCTGTCAGCTGCAGGACATTCCTTTCTGGTGTACCATACTAGTTTAGAACGCAGTAAAGTTGCTGTTTGGTTATGTGTTTATCTTGTAGTGAGTCAACTCAAAACAGGTTAGAGCTGGGCATGAAGCATACCTTTTTTTTTTTTTTTTTTTTTTTTTTTGCTTTTTTTGGTACCTATCCTGGAACTCTCTGTGGACCTGCCTGCCTCTGCCTCCCGAGTGCTGGGATTAAAGGTGTGCGCCACCACCGCCTGACTTGGTAGTTTCATTGTACTGTGATATACATAGTAAGTTGCAGGCTAGTCTGGGCTGCATAGTGAGACTCTGTCTCAAAAAGAAAAAAACAAAAGATGAAGATCCACCCTACTCTCAAGGGGAAAGTAGTGGCTCATAATTTTAAACATATCTTAAAGACCATCTGTGATGCATGCACACAAAATAAATACAAATGGGAGTTTTTTGTTTATTTTGAGGCAGGGTTTCTCTTTGCAGCACTGACTGTCCTGGAACTCACTCCGTAGACCAGGCTGGCCTCAAACTCACAGAGATTCCTCTGCCTCTGCCTCCTGAGTGCTGGGATTAAAGACGAGTGCTACCACTACTCAGTTTATAGATGTGGTTTTTAAAAGCAAGAAAGAACAAAGAAGAAAGCTTAAGCCAGGGACTAGAGAGCTGGTTCAGCATGGTAAAGAAAATGTTCTTGCAGATGGCCAGAGCTCAGTTCCTAGCACCCACACCAGGCAACCCCAGCCCCTGGAGCCCGTACTGCACTACCCATCCCCCATGCACATAGCCATTACAAAAAGTAACAAAATCAAAATAGTCCCTTGTGTCCCGTCCCCATCCCCCACCCGCACCCCCTTTTGCTTTTTCGAGACAGGGTTTCTTTGTGTAGCTCTGGCTGTCCTGGAACTTGCTCTGTAGACCAGGCTGGCCTCGAACTCACAGACCTCTGCCACCTGAGAGTTGGGATTAAAGATGTGTGCTGCTGCCACCCAGCCTGTTTATTAAGATTGTTAAAAGCATGTGGGTTTTAATTTAAAACAACTTCACTCAGTTAAATGTACAGTCCAAACACCTTCACCATAATAACTGTTTGATAGCTGTATGTTACCAAGCTTCCTCTGCATTTGAGACTGAGAAGATAAGAGCCCATTCATTACATCTGATCTGGTTTTCCAGAGGAAGCTGTGCGACTTCCATCATGCCATGAGTCATTTTGTGGGCAAAGCTATCCTTTTTTTTTTTTTTTTTTTTTTTTTTTTTGGTCTGCCCCCCCCCCCCACCAGCCATTCTGTTCTATTAATTAATTTTGTGTGTATGGTGCATTTGTCATGGCATGTATGAGGGGCTCTGAGGATAATGTTGGGGTGTGTGTGTGGTGCATGTGTCATGGCATGTATGAGGGGGTCTGAGGATAATGTTGGTGACTCCGTTCTCTCCCTTGTAGACCCTGGAGCTTAAACTCAGCTCACCAGGTTTACATGGCAATGGCCTTTACCCCCTGAGGGTCTCACCAGCTATTGTTTTATTTCTGTTACGTTTTTGAGACAGTATTTTGATGTGTGTCACCAAGCCCCGTTCCGAGACATCATTTAAAACAACAGATGGGAGCTGCCATATAAACCTGGCTGTGGTTCTGCCCCAGAATCCAGTAAGATGGGAAGAAGGAACTGACTCCACTGTGCCTTTCACACTTGTGCTTTAGGACGCACACAGTTAATAGCAGGTGTTTTTCAGTGATGCAGAGCTAACTGCACTGGGGGCTTGGAAGCTCCATCATTGCTCTTGCCTCATAGGGAAGTTCACCTTCATCCTTTCCTCCTCCTCTTTCTTGTTGTTGGTTTGGTTGACAGCTGTTGTTACATAGCCTCCCCTGACCTCCAGCTGTTGACCTCCAGCTGTTGACCCTCCTGTCCTAGTCTCTGTAGCACTGCCACTATGCTAACCCGTTTTCCTTTATTCAATAGAAAGGGATGGGGATGTGGCTCAGTACAGTGCTTGCTGGCATGGAGCCCTGGTGTGATCTCCAGCAATGCATGAACTGAGTGTAGACCTGCAAGCTGTGGTCCCAGCCCGGAGAAGAGGGAGCAGGAGCATCAGGGTTCAAGAACAGGGCGGAAGAGATGACTCCATAGTTGAAGCACTTGCTCTGCTGTAGGATTCAGGTTTAGTTCCTAGCACCCACATTACATGGTGACTCACAACCATCCCTAACTGCAGTTCCAAGGGAACCAAAGTCCCCTTCTGACCTCCCTAGGCACCAAGCATATACATGGTACACATACATATAAGCAGGCACCTAAAGTAAAATGAATTAAAAAAAAAAAACAAAATAATTCTGGATGATCCTCGGCTATGCAGTAAGTTTGAGCTACACGGCACTGTCACAAAGAAGAAGAGGAACCCTCATTTTAGGCATTGGGGTGTGAGGCCTGGCTTAGGAGCTCACAGCGTCATTCCTGAGAATCACGGGCCTTGGGTTACAGCCTCTAGCTCGGTCACTGAAGAGCAGTTTGGGCTTCTGCCTGAACCCTGGCACAGCTTGGTGCACCGAGCTGTGTCCCTCGTTGACGAGACTGGGGTGGATTTTCAGTGCCTCCAGAAGTCTGGCTGCATGAACCATTAGCATGGTTCTTTTTTTTATTAAAATTTTCATTTATTTTACATACCAACAAGTTTCCCCTCCCTCCTGTTTCCCTGTTCTCTCCCCCTACCTCCTGTCTATCCTCCCCTGCCCCTGCCCTCCCCATCCACCCCTCTACCATTCAGAAAAGGGCAGGTCATATCAGCTTGAGGCAAGACCAGGCCCCTCAGCCTGCGTCAAGGCTGGGCGAGGTGACCTTGCATGGGGAATAGTTTCAAAAAGGCAGCTCATGATTCGGGGACAGGTCCTGATCCCGCTGCCAGAGGCCCCACAAACAGACCAAGCTACACAGCTGTCACCCACATGCAGAGGGCCTCGGTCAGTCCCATGCAGGCTTCCCAGCTGCCAGTCCAGAGTCTGTGAGCTCCCAGTAACTCAGGCCAGCTGTCTGCGGTTCCCATCACTTTTGTTTTCCAACACAGACAGTAGATATTTGAAAGAGAAGTTAGGGAAGAGCTGTTTGCTTTTCTGTTGTTTCATGAAACATTTCTTCTTTGTGTAGATACAATTAAATTACTATTTCTAACCTGGTGTTTACTAATCCTTGATTTTCCCCTGGACTAGATCGATGAACAGATTGAGAGCATGTTTAATTCAAAGAAGAGAGTGAAAGACATGGCTGCACCGGGCACATCCAGTGTGCCTGCCCCAACTGCGGGCAATGCCGAGAAGCTAGAAATCGCCAAGAGGCTGGCTCTTCGAATCAATGCTCAGAAGAACCTGGGCATCGAGTCTCAGGTATTAAGTAATTTGTTCCTAGTCTTAGTCATTGTTCCGGTTGCTGTGTTGTGAGACTCCTAGTGTGACACTCAAAAATGAAAAAAAAAATGTCTTTTTAAAAAAAGTAGGTTTCTTATAGCCTAGGCTGGCCTTGAACCCTCTGTGTAGCCAAGGATAACCCTCTCCTGCTCCTTCTGTCACTGCCTCAGCAAGTGTGACCCCACACTGGGCTTGAGCAAGTGTGCCTCCACCAACCCCCACACACTCTGGGCCTCAGACACTACTTTGAATGCAGATCCTTTCTAGGAACATGCTGAACAAGTTTTATTAAAATGAGTTTTCAAGAATGTACCACACTCAATACAGGCTTCTTTGATACTTGCGTTGGGAGGATGTCTCCTTGTTCCTCATATAGAAACCTGTTAGGATGTGAGTCTGGATTGTTCCTGTAGATCAGATGAGCATCCCCAAGCAGATACTCCACATCCAGAGACTGTTTTCTTTGATACTGATTTTGTTTGTTTCTTTGTTTTGTTTTGTTTTGTTTTTCAGGACAGGGTTTTTCTGCGTATGTAGCCCTGCCTGTCCTGGAACTCACTCTATAAACTACATCTAGAACCCTTGAGATCCACCTTCCTCTGCCTCCTGAGTGCTGGGTTTAAAGATGTTGTCCATCATTGCCCAATATGTTTTGAATCTTTTTCTGTTCAGCTATGTATAGTCAAGTGCTAACATTTGTGCAAATATTGTGAAATTTAAAAGCTTAAGCTCCGAAATGCTTCTTTCTGTCCTCAGCATTCTGGATAAAAGACCCCAGCTTGTACTGTATTTTTGTCTTACCAGAGTTGAAAGAATTTAATTCTCTTCTTCTCTAATTGTTTCATGGAGTGGGTTTATTGGGAACAGAAATAGTCCCTGAATATATGAATACCTGGTTCTCTTTCAAAATAGTGTGCTTAGATAGTCTGGCAGTGTTTTCTCTAAACATTCCACATGATTTGCATTTTGAGGTTTTTTTTCTCTTTTTGTTTTTTTGAGATAGGTTTTCTGTATGGAGTCCTGGCTGTTTGGTAACTCACTCTGTAGACCAGGCTGGTCTCCAACTCTCAGAGATCCACTGCCTCTGCCTCCTGAGTGCTGGGATTAAAGGCATGTGCCACCACTGAGCTGAGGTTTTGGGTTTTTAAACTCAGTGTTCTGTGGCCAACCTAGAGCTGGCAGTCAGTCCCCTTCCTCTGCCTCCTGAGTGTTGGGATTACTGAAGTGTGCCATCATGCCAGATACTGTTTACTTCTCAGTCAAACAGAATTTTTATAGCATGTCCAAAGGATGGTTTAATTAATTGTGATAGTATTTGGAGGATTTTTGAGTGAGTCATTTGCTGTAATTTATTGAGTATTTGGATGGTTCATTGTGGGTGTGGGAAGGCTCAATGATGATGGCAACATACCATTGTAATGAAGTAGAAATGCTTCGTAGTCACAAGGTATGTGGTTTTAGAAGAATTGTATTATGTACTGAGAGTTAGCCAATGATCCATGTCTGTGGTACAGTGATGCATAGTAGGCCATTGAATATCCCACGGTTTTCTCCTCAGGATGAGAGGAAGATGACATTGTCAGTTGTGGACTGACACTGTTCAACCACATGTGTGAGGGATTGCATTAGAAAGATACTCCTGTTTACTAAGCTCAGTTAGTGGCTGTGGGGGAATCATTTATGGTGCAGTCCTTGTCCCTATGTGCCTACAGCTGCAGTTTAACTGGGGGTCTTTTTAAACTGCAGGATGTGATGCAGCAAGCCACCAATGCCATCCTCAGAGGGGGTACCATTCTGGCTCCCACCGTGTCTGCGAAAACCATTGCAGAGCAGCTTGCCGAGAAGATCAACGCCAAGCTCAATTACGTCCCTTTGGAGAAGCAGGAGGAGGAGAGGCAGGAGGGTGGGCAGAGCGAGTCTTTCAAGAGATACGAGGAAGAGTTAGAAATTAATGACTTCCCGCAGGTAGGTAACAGATGGAAAGGGTTTTATATTGTCAGGTAGAAGTGGTTTTCGGGAAAGAATCCCTTCCTTAAAAGACATCAGCCATTATCATTCTGTGTTTGCTTGTTTTGGGGAAAGAATCCCTTCCTTAACACATCAGCCATTATCATTCGGTTTGCTTGTTTGATTTTAGTTTTGAGGGTGGGCCTCAGAGGACGCCGGCCCTCACACTCGATGTGTAGCTAGGGATGAACTTGCCCTCCTCCTTCTCAGGTGCCTGAGTGACAGATGGGCACCTGCCACTCCTGTCCTATTTGTTTATTCTTTTCAGCACTAGAGAACCTAGGATTTGATACATGCCGGGCAAGGCAAAGGCAAGCACTTCAGTATTGGTCTGAACCTCCAGTGATAAGATAGCCCTGACTGTCCTGGATCTCTATAGACCATACTGGCCTTGAACTCAGAGATCCACCTGCCTCTGCCTCCCAAATGCTGGAATTAAAGGCATTCACTGCCCAGTGAATCTATTCGTTAACAACCCAGAATTTTAGACTAATTGTGATTCTGGGGGTATATTGGAGGTGTGGTGGGGCACAGGTGTCAGGAGGGGTGTGTCAGTCGGGACATCTTACAGGAGCTGGTTTTCTTCTTCGTGGCAGTTTCCAGGGTTTGAACTCAGGCGGTCAGTCTGGGCAGTGGGAGCCTTTATCCACCGAGCCCTGTCTACTGCCTCAGCTCAGATTCCTGTGTTGTGATGTAGTTCCCCACACCTTTCTCGTAGACGGCGAGGTGGAAAGTCACCTCTAAGGAAGCCCTGCAGAGAATCAGCGAGTACTCTGAAGCCGCGATCACAATCAGAGGCACCTACTTCCCTCCTGGCAAGGAACCCAAAGAGGGGGAGCGGAAGATTTACTTGGCGATTGAAAGTATGTACCGTTCTTCTGTATGAAGCTTGAGTTAGATCAGGGTTGGTGTAGCTGTAGTATGGGGTCAGTGTGAAGCTGATAGTAGGAAAGACTGAAATAGAGACCTCTGAGAAATAGATGACCATGTGTTGCTTGAGGTCTTGGAAGTTCAGTAACCATACATAAAGCCGAAAGGTGTATTTAAGAGATTGAACAGTCCGTGGTTTTGTGTGTCGCCCTTGTGCAGAAGCCATGCTCATCATCTGTGCCTTTCTCACTGCAGTGCACATGCTGCCCAAGTGCAAGTGCGCACAGGACCGACACTCTTCATTGTGTCGAGTACTCTGATCAGGGTTCGAGTCAGAAAATAACCCAGCTGTACTAGACGACTGTCTTGGCTGGCAGGCAGTCCACTCCCTGACATTACTTGAGGTGTTGTCTCCTGGACCTCCCTAACGTGGAGAAGCAGCCAGGGAAGCTCAGTAGTATGAACCGTGCGCTTTCTGCTCTATCATCAGGTGCCAACGAACTGGCTGTGCAGAAAGCAAAGGCAGAAATCACCAGGCTCATAAAGGAAGAGCTGATCCGACTGGTAAGTGAAACCAACCTTCAGGCCTCACTCATTTCAGTGACGGACAGACTTGGATCTGTCCCACACATCAATCTATCCCTGACTTCCATGTCACTGTATCACCTTCAGATATAGACATATTGTGATTATAAATCTGGAGGTGAGTTTTATGTGTGGTGTGATTATATACTGTCTGGTCTTTTTGTGTCTCAGCATCATATCGAGGCGGCCAGGCTGTTGTTGCGGTTAGCAACATCGCATACCTTTTCATACCTGTGCTGGTTAGTTGTTTAAAACGTAACAGATAACTTACATATTGGAATGAAGGATATTCTGCTTTGGACTTTTATGAATAACACTGCTGTGAATTTTCTTCCTTGACTTTTTCTATACATTAATGCATTTCTTTATTGAATATACACTTTGGAATAGGATTTCTATTTATAAATTCTATAATGCTTAGCTTTTTAGTGGGTGTTACCACATAGTTTTGCAAAAAGCATTTATCCGTTTCCACTCATTGGAGCATCTGAAAATGCCAATTATTCTGCATGTTGACCAACCCATAGTGTGGTCACTGTTTCAAAATTTATGCAGTGAGTTAATTTTAGAAAAACAACAGCCTGCTAAGGATAACCTTCCTAAGGTGACCCTTAGTACCATTGTGTAGCAGTCCCTTTGGAAGGAAGTCTGGTTTGTTATCTAAGAGTAAATGGGGAGGGGGATCTCAATTTCCATTTATAACACATAGAATTCTTTTATGGGCAATCGTTTTCTTATTTATTTGTTAATTTTATGGAGGCACAGTGAGCAGAAAGAATGAATTCTTTATTGAGCCCTGCCTTCTGCCTCCACACAGTATCATAGCCTTTTTATTTGGCTATCTGATAGTTTTACAAAATGTTAAAAGAAAATGGTCTCAAACATTGAGTTTGTGTGTGTGTTCTTTCTAACCTTCTGTCTTTTATTTTCTATCCTAGCAAAATTCGTACCAACCAACAAATAAAGGACGATACAAAGTATTATAAACATCTGGGAGCCACTTTGTACCTGTGCTGGTCTGTGAAGTTTACAATGTATTGTAAAGTAAGACTTTGAAAATTCTGTCTTGCTTATTTTTTAAAAACAAGAAACCAGTGTTTGTTACAGAAGTTGGTTGTCAGTCAGTGCTACCCTGCACATTTCAGAGTGCGATGTTCCTTCATGTAAACCTTAGATACCAATACTCGTAAAAGTCTGGAAACATGGGGTTCTGTGTTGAAGATAGTAATAAAGTGTGTCGGTCACTAAGGGGCCACTGACCTCTCCTCTTTCGCTGAAGTTGTGATGTGATCCATCTTCTAAGAAAAGGTAAAAGTCCATGTCATATTTTGTTGCCCCCTCTTAAGCTTACATCTTATTTGACTGAATGGAACATATGAACTGGATCCAAGAATGTTATAATAGATGTTTACAAAATAGGTTCAGAGTTTTTAATTTTGTCATCAGAGATGAGTAGTAGTTGGTTTGCCTTTGTTTTTGTAAAATTAAACATAAGTAGCATAATGGGACTTTTGCTTTTCTTTTTTTTTCCTCCTTCCGAGAGAGTCCCTGTGTAGCTCAGGCTGGCCTTGAACTTGTGATCGTCCTGCATTTTTACCTTTCTGGTGTTTGAGATTACTGTGCTCAGCTTTCCACTTCTTTCTACTGCATTAGTGCTACTACTTCAGGTTCCTGCTCAGCCTTTGATTCTGCCTAAGGCTAGCTAGCTAATTTGTTTCTTGCCTACTTTTAGAGAAAGTGATTGTGGCCAGTACTCACTAAATATGTTTCTTTAGACATCTGTATATGATATATACAAACACTTTATTACTGTTAACCTAATTTTCCTCCAGGATGATTGAATAGGAAGTGATTTTTTTTCCCATTTAAAACAAGGCAGGTGGTGAATGCCTGTAATCCCAGCATGCAGGAGGCAGGGGCAGAAGATGATGAATTTGAGGTCATCCTGGGCTTTCATAGTGAAGTCTTACAGGGGGCAGAGGCAGGCAGATTTCTGGGAGTTTGAGGCCAGCCTGGTTCACAGGCACACAAAGAAAGAAACCCTGTCTTGGAAAAAGAAAAACAAACAAACAAAAAATCCAAGCAAAACAAACAAGGCTGGGGATATAGGTCAGTGGTAATGCACTTGCCTAACCTCAAGAAAACGTGTTGTTAAGTACTGGTACTTAGTCAGATTAAATGACCTAATGGGTAAGGTGAGCAGGTCTGGCCACCTGAGACCACATGCTCATCCGCACGCACACAAATCTAGTAAAGACAACGAATTACATTAAATACTGGTATTTAAGTTTCAGACTACAGCCTCTCAATAAAGTTTAGTGCACAAAATCCCAAGAATTGTACTTTAGAGCCTTTGCGGTCTGATTCTGAATGCTAATAATTGGATTACCTAAAACTACTTTCAAGACTCATGAAAACTTCATATTGTCATCAGAACAAAAAGAAATGCTTTATTGGGTGTCAAATAAATATTTCTTAAATTTAGAGATGGAAAAGTTTTTAAAGCATTTTTGACTTATACCAGGTGTGGTGGCTCACGCCTCTAATCCTGGCCTTCGGGAGGTAGAAGCAGGATGGTCCCTGGGTTCAAGGCCAACCTGTTCAACATAGTGAGTTTCAGGCCAGCCAGTGCTGTCCAGAGAGAACAAACAAATATGTCTGTGTATATTCTTGATTTAGACGTTTTTAAGTCAGGAGATACTAGAGTTGTTAAATGCTTTTAAGGCTAGAAAGATGATCACTGACTCAGAGCGCCTGGCACTCCTGCAGAGGACCCAGGCTTAGCTTTCCACACCCACATGGCAGCTCATAGTTGTCTGTAATTGTAATGAATACATCTAAAGAACAATCAAAAAATTTTAGTGTAGTAGTAGCCATCTTGACAGATGTGTATTCTGTTTGTTAAGTGTAAGTGTACTTGTACTGGGAAGGTAAAATGTAATTGGAAATTATTTTTAGACCTCCACATACCCAGTTACTTCTCTTGAAGGAAGAAATAGAGGAAATACCTGCAGCAATAAAATGAAACAACTTTTCACTGGGGTTCTCTCCATCGCGCTTCTCCCGGCCTTAGCTTGCTTGCTTCTCCACCACAGGCGGTGTCACTTGACTGAGTATTGAGTCACACTGGTTCAATGGTGCTCCCTGCTCACTGGGTCCCTTTGAGACCCAGAAGTTAACATCCTTTCAAAGTTCCTGTTCGTGGGTCAAGTTGTGAAGAAACATTGGTAGTGTGTTTTTCTAAAATGAAATACTGCTCAGTACATTTTTTTAGTGTCAACACTGATTTTTAAAGTTTGGCTGATGTACAGATTTTGTTTTTTTAATACAATATCAATATTTGCTCAACCTCTCTAGATTCCTTACAGAATAAAGTTAATTCGCTCTTCATTTGTCTCAGATTATCTTTCCTTGAATACTTCCTGCTTTGTTTTTTTTCTTCACTCTTTTTTGTATTTGTAGACATCTAAGAAATGTTACTGTTGGTGTATCTTTTTTTTTTTTTTTTTAAAGACAGAATCTCACTGCAACCAAGGCTGTCTGTCCTGGAACTTGTTTTGTAGACCAGGTTGGCCATGAACTCAGAGAGAGATCTTCCTATCTTTGCTTACCAAGAGCTGGGGAGGAGGGCATACCTTAAAAAATAGTGTGCACCTTAAAACAAACAATCAAACAATTTGTTTCTAATTTGTTATCAAATACATTCTTTTCTAAGAATGACTTTTATGTACTTTATTTTATGTGCTTTTGGGGGAGGTTTTGTTTGTTTGTTTGTTTTTGTCTGCATGTTTATCTGTGTGTCACATATGTGCCTGCAGAGGCCAGAAAAGGCCATTGGTTTCCCTGACACATGAAAATTTAATATTGTCACCAGAAAAAGTATCAGTATTAAATAAGTGTTTCTTAAGAGACAGAAAAAGTTTTTTTTTAAGATTATATTTATTTATTAAGTATACAGTATTCTTCATGCATATATGCCTGCACACTAGAAGCAGGCACCAGATCTCATTACAGATGGTTGTGAGTCACCATGTGTTTGCCGGGAATTGAATCCAGGTCCTCTGCAAGAGCACCTAGTGCTCCTAACCTCTGAGCCATCTCTCTAGCTCCCCAGGAAAGTTCTTTAAGCATTCTTGATTTTAACCAGGTGAGATGGTGTGCATATGTAACCCCAGCCTTCAGAAGGCAGAGGCTGTTCAGTCCCTGAGTTTGCCATCTTGCCAGTCCTCTACATTGTTTTTTAAAAATTTATTCTTTCTGTTTGTTTCTTTGTTTTTTCATTTGTTTCTGTTTCTTTCATTGAGACAGAGTTACCCTGTGTAGCCCTGGCTGTCCTTGAACTAACTCCATAGACCAGACTAGCCCAGAGCTCAGATCCTCCTGCCTCTGCCTCCTGAGTGCTGGGATGAAAGGAGTTCACTACCTCCACTTTGCTACACATTCTTTAAAAAACAAACAAACAAAAAAACTCTGTGTGTGTGTGTGTGTGTGTGTGTGTGTGTGTGTGTGTGTGTGTGTGTGTGTGTGTATGTTTACAGAAGAGGAAAGGAGAAAGAGGAGACATGGGTATGACATTACTCAGCGAGAGTCCCTGCAGTTCACCTCATTATTCCCAATTATTCCCCATGTGACACCTTCTGGGCACACGGTCTTTGATTGGTCACCGTATGCTTCTCTGACGTCTGAATCTTCTTTTGGAGCAGCAATTTTAGAAATCAATGCCATTAACTAGAGTTGACATCTGTCTGTTCTAAAAGGAAAACTTGCCCTTAAATTGTGGTGTTCATAAGTGCACCCAGCCATCTATAAGGCCTTCACACATCTCTATGATTTTTTAAAAATTTCATTTTATATAAACTTTTGTGTGTGTGTGTATGTGTTCTTTTCTTGAGTGTGCATGCCACGGTTCAGGTGTGGAGGCTGAGGAACAAATCTTAGGAGTTGGTGCTTTCCTTCTACCAGGGATTGAACTCAGGTGATCAGCATTAGCTATAATTTGTTTTATGTGCTAAACCATCTCATCTGCCCCACAGCAACGTCATGAGAATATTAGAAATTAGAAATCAAACTCTCGATGAGCCCTCATCTAGTAGCTGATGGAAACAGAAGCAGACACCCCCAGCTAAACACTGAGCGGAACTGGAATCCAGATGCAGAGAGGGAGGACAAGACCAGGCTCAGAAACCACAGAGACAGCTGACCTGAACAAGGAGGGGCTAATGGGCCCTGATGGGACTGATAGCTGGGAATCCAGCATTGGACCGACTCAGGCCCCCTGAACATGGGTCTCAGTGCCTGCCTAGCCTGTCCTTCCTCCGCTGCTGACCGGGGAAGTGGGCACAAAAGGTGCCTTATTCTCTCCTCCTGTGGGAAAAGAACTTGAGTGCTCATCCTCACCTACTTGTTGGGTTTTATTAAAGTGTTAACCATGGAAAAGAGAAAGAAATGCAGGCTTATAGTTTGTCATCTATAACAGTCAAACTTGTCATCATGCTAGGTATGCTTTCAAGTTAGATATACTTTAGACAGATGGATAGTCTGTTAAAACACTCCAGAGATCTACAGAATGTGGCAATTAGAATGTTTTGATAAAATAAGGCTTTTCATGTCAGTGAGATATGTCTGTCTGCTCCTGGCCCCACAAATACTTCAGAGAAGATGACGGGCATCAAAGAGCCTCCATATGGAGTTTGCTTTCAGTGTGGCAAAGTTGACAGTTTCCTTGCCTCAACTGCTGACAGTATGTTGTCCAAATTGGACAAGAAGGACATAAAGGACTTAGTCAACTTTGCTAAGACAAGGTACGCCAGTCCTTCAAAATTCCTGCTTCACAGGGAAGTCTATCATAGGTTTGTAGGCTGAAATAGATTCCCCCAGTGTTGTAGAGGAACCTTGGGTGACTGTCCAGGCAGTCAGGTGTCTGTGATTTCTACAGTTTTGGAAGTTGCTTACTCTGCACTCCCTGTTTACTTGGGTAATATTTTATCCTTCTTGGGTCTCTGATGGGGGTTGAAGACTAGACATACCGTTTTCTTTGTTAGCAAATTTGGAGAAGAAACTTATAAGAGAGATGTAATGCTTATAAGGTTGAGAGACTGTAGTGAGATACCCACCCCGTCCGCACCTTAAGATAGCTCTCTAGAAAGAACCGTCAAACAAAGAGGAATCTGATGTGTGGTACCAATATCTAATTCTGGCAAACTATTTCTATACAAAAATCTATTTCCTTTTACTTCCCAGTACTCTTTTAGTCCCAATTCATGTAAACCAATGCTGGCTTTGGAGTTGGATTTGGCTTTCCTCCTCTAAATTCAAAAATAAAATTCAGAGTTTCTGTCTTACATCAAGAAGCCAATTGGTGTAAGACAGAAGTAAACAAAATCTAGGGATTGTCGTTTGAAGTTGAAGTTTCTGTGTTGATATTTATGTTTAAGTTTTCCACAAGGAACAGTAACAATTCCTAACAGTAATCTTTGAACTCTCCGGAATGAAGATGGGGCCCCACATCATCATTTCCACTTAATTCAACCTGATGCAACCTGGACTACAAACATCACCATAAATCCGGTTTGGGACTGTAATGTTCAAGACAGTTCCAGACTAGCTAGCTGAAATAGTGCACCTTCTTATTACACCCTGGCCAGAGTTTCAGAACTTTAGTCAAGCATTTCCAGCCTCATAGAGACTAGCTACAAATGTTATAGCTACTCCCCTCGAAAAATTTGTCACCTTAATTTTTTTTCCTACAGGATCCCATGGAAGAAAACAAAACCCCTTTTCCCTACTGTTGGCCTTAAGGGATGATATACACCTGCATGGGGTTGGTTTTTAGTTGCTTAGGGTTGGGTATGGAAGGTGATGTTCAGACTCGGGTATCTCTTTTTGATACGTTTAGGGTATGGTTGGGAAGGATATGGTTAGAATGGGATATAGGTAGATGTACATAATTTCTAGTGCACTAACTTTAGCAACTATAAGCTATAGATAACTTAAATTGCTAGATCCTTGGTTACAAATTGTTAGATTCTTATATGTTGACTGTTTAGGGTCTTCTTTCTGTTTACGATATTTTGCGCACAAATATAACTATCTAGATGTGTATACATTTTATATATTGATACAACTTAGAATATTTTATCACATGGCACTTTACAGTTCTACCTGTAGTCATGACATTTCAGTTCTATCTCTGTGAAAAATGTACACACATGTAAGGAGTTCGGTTTTTCCACCCGTCGCCGCTCTTGTCCGGCAGCTGCGCCAGCCCCAAATAACACACAGAGACTCTGTATTCGATATAATCTGTTGGCCGGGTTATTATTTTCTTATTGGCTAGCTCTATCTTAAGTATTAACCCATTTGTGTTAATCTATGTATTTCCACATGGTCTTCTTACCCAGAGCCAGCTGCCGTATACTGCTTTCTCCTGACTCTCCATCTTGGCTCCTCCTTACTACTTCCTATTTCCTCCTTGTCTCCTAGTCCCTCCTATCTTCCTCTCCTATTGGCCAACAGTGCTTTATTATTAACCAGTATGAGAAACATACTGCTGGTGACGAGATAGTGTAATTGGTTTTTATCCTGTTGCCTTGCTTTACTGAATTGGCATTAGAGAGTGTGTGCATACTGTAAGGAGTAAGGTTTTTCCGTCCACCGCCTAGTCTTGTCCCATTGCCGCACCAGCCCCAAATAATACACAGAGACTCTGTATTTGATACAATACTGTTGGCCCGGTTACTTGTTTCTTATCGGCTAGCTCTGTCTTTAATTATTAACCCATTTCTGCTGATCTATGTATTTCTCTTACCAGGGAGCCGGCGGCATACTGCTTTCTTTAGACTCTCCATTTTGACTCCTCCTTACTACTTCCTATTTCCTCCTTGTCTCCTAGTCCCTCCTATCTTTCTTTCCTATTGGCCAACAGTGCTTTATTATTAACCAGTATGAGAAACATACAAAATGACATCTCCCATCACACACACACACGTATGGTTACATTTTCTGTTGTCTTTGTCCGTGCTAAATATTTTTGGAAGCTTCAGCCATTGTACAATTATGTTCCCGAGAATTACAGATATTTTCACCCACATTTTTTATACCTATGAGATTAGTCAGACATAAATTTTGATCTTCAAACACTTCATAGACCTGCAGAATATGACATTTAAATGTTTTAATATTAGTACTCTGTTGACATGAGACACAATCGCTCCTGACAGCACCGAGCTATTTCAGAGAAAATGTTGGGCACTGATGTCACTCCTTCTGGAGTCCATTCTCTCCTTGGCTATGGCCTCTTGGGCAAAGAACTGCCCCCACCCTGACCACTGACTTTGGACATGCTGTCCTACTGTGCTTGCAGGAGACAAACATAGAAGACTGCTGAAC